CGTAGAGTCAAAGAGTATATAATCACTACGTTTAAGGTAGAGTTTTTTTTATATATGTGTGGGCAAACGACACATGCTCGTTCACCCGATGATAAGTAGGTTACTACCCCATCTATGAACAACTGCAACACCGTTAAATTGTAGATGCGTTAACCACTTGAACGTCCAAGTGACGCGGCGACAATACCCTTGCACGTCCCGGCCCCGGTCGTTACTGTATTTGTACGGTTGGATCGCGACCAGTTCGACAAAAACGGTTACCATGGAGAAAGTTCTTTACCTATATCAAATTAAAAATCACCCACAGAAAGCTAATGAAATCCAGAATTTAATTATGCTGATAATAATTTACTCAATTGACGTGCAACAGGTAAAAAAAAATGATTAATTTTAGAAATCAGGATGAAAAACCCTAACATTTATTTTATTTTCTTTGTTAATATCGCAGTATCATTTTATTTATATATACTTATTGTACAATTATTCTAATATATCTACCTACCCTATCCAATAATGCTAATAACGTTAAATGAATGTTAAGTATTTCTAGGCAAGAATACCTAAAATATCGACATACTCCGTTCTAGAGTGTGATCTCCAGGGCGGCTATAAAATGTGGCAAGATGGATGCCCGTTTTAAGGTCCGTTTACACGATTATTTGAGCATGGGTATATACTAAATATAATTAAATAAAATATAATTACAAAAAACTTTATTTTTCTTAAATATAAATAAAAAAATATGTAAAATAAACACTTAATTTTTTTATCTGTCATGTTTTTAAAAATTTAGTTTATAATTTACAATTATATTTAACCAATTATATTTAATTAGCGGAACTCCGGGGGAAGAATCAGTATTAGAGATATATTCAAAAAAGTTTTTTTGGATCCGTCTTTTTTTTTTAATTTTTGGGAAAATAAATTCGCTGTAGGCTCATTCTATCTGTTTTCTGTCTACCAAAGGCCTCTGCGACCTCGCTGTGAAGAAATTTACAAAAATATTGAAAAATATTTTAACCAAAAATTAAAAAAAAAGTCGGATCACAAAAAGAATTGTTTCGGAATATATCCCCGATACTGATCGTTTCGCCGGAATTTCTATAATGTTGTATAATGGTGCAGTGCCAAATTAAATAAAAAAGCAGCCATATACGTGGTAGAGCAATGCTGCAGCTATATTAGTAGTATAGATGTAGCACGAATGGGTCGGCTCCACCGGGGAAGGACCACGCTCTCACAGAATACCAGCGTAAAATAGCAGCTTAACACTGCTGTGTTTCGTATGGTGAGTGTAGAGAACCGGAAAGATAGGCCGCTCTAGTCGCCCTAACGTTCAACAGGAAAAAGTTTTAGGCGACTATGGCCGCCCGGACGTTTGAGTGGTTAATAGTAATAGTTATAGTGTTCTTTGGTTCTAGAGAATATAATCTAGGTTATGTGGGTTTTGATTTTATTAATCAAGGAAATTTGAATAAAAGAAACGCAGTGAAGTTAAATAGTCTTTGGGATAAGGGGAGGGAACTTGACGGACTGTGGTGGTGGTGGTTGTTTTATCTAGCTTGCTACATATTTATTTATCTGTGGTTTTATCGCTTAAATTATGGTATTAAGTGGATTTTGATATTTAAAAGTTGCATGATTTTGTGTGTACTATTCTTAAAATAAATATTACGAAAATACTCTATTGTAGGTTGCTTTGACTTGAAATTGTATGATTTGACCATCGCTCGCAATCTAAGACCTTATTTTCAAGGTAAGTTTTTTAATTTTTTCAGTTCGTTGCGTTAACGAGTCGCACTAGTGAAATTCATAAACGTCGTTGATGAATTCAACTAGTTGATTCATAAACGGTTAACGTTAATACGTTGAGTTTTTTTTTACTTATCTTCTTGGAGCTAATGCAGATACAGTTGTAGTTTTAACTTGATTATTTTAAAGTTTTGAACTAGTTATTTATTTATAACACTAGATACTCAATTGAAATAATTCAATAAAATATATAATTTGAAATAGTAGGTATTTACAGTGTCTTTATTATTTATTTACATCACAAATTGCATTTAAAATGATAAAAATTGCAACTTTCTCCTTCCACTACATTTATTCTGGCAGATCTGTTAGAACTATAAATAAATTGAAAATTCTATATAAAATAATGTTATAAAATGCACTCGATTTTAGACTATAAAAAACAATCAGATTTGAAATTTATCATTATTAGGCAACATAAGTTAAACTTTAAATTCTTACATCTGTGATTAAAGTTAATGAAATAACTTTGTAACGTAACGATGTCATAAAAATAGTTCGTAAAGTTATGATGATTTGGTTCTAAATCATATACTATTGAGTTACGTGACTGGGAAGAAATTGTCGTACCGCTCCTACTACTGTATTTGTCTCGGCCAGAAGTATTTGAATAAAGATGATTAATATATCTTTTAACTATTAATATAAACAGTTAAAAAAAATCCAATTTATTAAATAAATAAAATAAACGATAATGAATAAAATTATCATATTCCAGTCCATTCAAAATCATGCACGATCGATATCTTACCTAGCCGTATTTATGGCATCTAGCGTCTTCTTTACGTTACACCTTGAGAGTCAATCAATTTTCGTTCGATAAAATGACTTTACCCATAGAATGGAGTAGATGGCGGTTTACAAAGCAATTTTATGATTTATTACATTAACATTCACATGTCTAAAAATAAGGATTGTAACGATTATTTGCTATATATTTATATATATATATATATATATGTATATATATACTTAAAGTCAAACATATATCCAATATTTTATGCTGAACTTGTTTTAGACAATTATCATATTAAATAAATCGTTTGCGGTTAAATCTTTTGAAGTGTAGTTTTTATTAAAACGTACGAAATGATATTTTTAACACATAGATGTAACGCTATTGACTGAATTCATTAGTGGTTGATGTTAATTTTATGTACTTTGTTGTTACGATATTGGCTCAAATATTGGTTGATAGGTAGTAATTTAAGCAAAGGGGCGCCAGTTTAATATTATTTTGTTTAGTTTACATTTTCATCAAAATATTACAAGGAATTTATAAAAAAACCTTGAAAAAATAATTAATTAAGATTTAGTGAAATTGTTTTTTTATTATTTAGTGTAGTGTACAAATATAAGATTTTAGTAAGACTTTAATTTTCCGCCATGTCTAATCTAGTACCCATATCGCTCGCACTCTGTCGCACACGGCGAATCTAGCCACCGACCGATGCGAAACGATTTAGGCATCGTGGCTGTACGCAAATATCAGATTTTGTAATACATAGTTTTCGAACGAACCGGTATAATATCTATATCGCTCGCGCTCCGTCGCACACGACAAATCTAGCCACCGACCGATACGAAGCGATATAGGCATCGCGGCGGTACGCAAACATCAGATTTTGTAATACATAGTTTTGAAACGACCAGTAAGCGGTTTTTGGATATTGTACCAATATATAGATTTCGTATCAGTATACGGTTTGCATCGCCCACCTCTAGAAGCATAGATAAGCTCATGGGCATGCAACTTAGAACATTATTTTACGAACAAAATGATACGTTTTATGTGCTTCCATCTACATTCCGAAGCGCTAGGCTAGACTTATTTTAATCTCACTAGAGGGCACTTATATATTAAGTCTTTGCAATAATCCACGCGCACTACGCAGTTAGTAGACGTGGGACGTTACGTCATTTTCAAGAAACGTAACGAAACCAGTGACTTGGTCTGCGTCACCTGTTTTAAAACTAGTGATTTTTGTAACTGGCTATTTTTATTTGGCTACTGTGATTGTTTGCATAAATACCACCGAGAACTATACAGTTACACACGAAACGAATATAAATTTAATCACTATCTAAGTGTTTCTAGCTGTACAGTTAAATCAATAAATTAACTTCCCTTCATACTTTATTCAGGCTTAGAACTGACTACATTAAATGTATTTATGATTGTTTTGTATTTACTATGAAACTAAGATTTTCATAAAATTATTAATGCAGGGGTATTTACAAGTCAATTTGATTGTATATACAATGATTATTGATTTTCACAGTTTATTTAAACTTGTACAATCCACACTAATTATATTTATATAATATAATAACAAAGAAACGTTACAGTAAATGTACATAAAACTCCAAAATAACATATAAATGTAAATTTTTACAAGATAATATTCAAAATTATAAACAAGTACAACGATGAACTAAAACAAACTAAATTATTTTACTTAAATTCAATGTGACTATCGCTTCCCGGAATTGCAAACCATTGAAATTATTTACAAACAAAGATCATTCTATTTATATTGTCTATATCTATAGTCTTACGTATGAAAATTAAACGTACAATAATACTGTTACATACGCTGTTTTGTTTATTGTTGTATGCCAAATGTGCGCTTTGCGCTTGACCGACCGACAGTCGACTCTCGCAACAATCACAGTAATAACGCATTTACAAAAATCACTACTTGTTATATGACTCGAAACTAGTGATTTGGTTACATGCCGCGTAGCCAGTTATTGTAACTAGTGACGTGAAATAACGCCCACGTCTAGCAGTTAGTAGCGGTCACTGGTTATGCTTAAATTGTTATTAATGTTTATTGAACATAATTTATTTTTAGAAAATGCCATTTTACCTGTGTTTTCAGACCATGAAAAAGCTCAGGTGGTTAATCAGTCGGTCCCGAAATCTAAAGACCCTGGATTGCGTCCAGCAGATGTGTTTATTTTTTCCCTTTTTTTCAAGTCCCTTTTTTGTAAGCGCCGTCTGTTATGCAAAGCACGACACTAAAGAAATAAAATTTGACTCGCGCATCTATACACTACAGTAATCTATGGTTAAGCTAATGTAATCGAGAGGAATGAAGTTTACATTATTATTTTAGAGTAACTCCATTTAAATCATTTTAATTTTGTAATATTTGAGACGTACTACTGAATAGACATGAAATATGACGTTTATTGCAAAAGAAATTTTTTTTGTACTTTTATTTACAACAGTTATTGTATCTGGAAGAATACACAAGTTACCCCTAATGGTTAGTGATTCATTATTTTGTTAAAATAAGTAGCATATTTTACAAAATTGTGTACTCTAAATAGAGCTGAAGTATGTGGTAACCCAGTTGAGAGTAGCAAACATAAGAGTTCTCATTTTGATATGATTTTGCTCACCAAAAATATAGTTTATTTTAAATACCTATCTCATAACATGTGTCCTTAGCTAATACTTACTATGTTGCATATGGTAATGAAAATGAACCAATAAAATTAATATGGATTATATTATTAATTATTCAAATATCAAAGTTGCACTGTTTAAATAACTGTCTGGTGTATTTATTGTAACATAATGTTATGAATCCATTTTGATATGCATTTTTACATAGAATAATATACCCAAAATAGTAGTCTGCCTATACATTTTTATGCAAAGAAGGCCACAAATGTATATGCAAAGTTAGCCTAACTTTGAAAAGACTACTGTTATCGAGACACTGTATTTCAGAGAAAGGGGGTGTGGCAGGGGTCCTTACTCCCCTTCTCCCCCTTCCCCGTCCCTCCCATTTCAATAGCAAGGGTGGTTCATCAAACTATTTAAAATATTGTAATGTATGTGACGAGAACTGGAGATTTTATTGGTAATAAGGCTTTCAATATTAACCTTCAGAGAGACAAGCCTCATTTTGATTCTTCATCATCATCATCATCATCATTACAGCCCTTCACAAGTCCACTGCTGATCATAGGCCTTCCACAAGGAATGCCACAAAGCACAGTCCTGAGCCACCTGCATCCATCGACTTCCTTCATGTTTTACCAGGTTGTCACTCCATCTTGTGAGGGGACGCCCTACACTTCGCCTGCCGGTACGAGGCTGCCACTCGAGAACCTTTCTTCCCCATCGGTTGTCGGTCCTACGAGCTATATGGCCAGCCCATTGCCACTTCAGCTTACTAAACCGTTGGGCTATGTTGGTCACTCTGGTTCTAATACGGATATCCTTATTTCTAAATTTATCACGCAGAGAAACTCCGAGTATAGCCCTCTCCATAGCTCGCTGAGCGACCCTGAGCTTCCTCATCCGGCCAGCAGTGAAGGACCACGTCTCAATTCCGTAGGTCATCACTGGCAACACGCACTGGTTGTACAGTCTCGTTTTCAAGTTTTGAGGTATACCTGAGGAGTAGATGTGACGTAGATTCCTGAACGCTGCCCAGCCAAGTTGAAGTTGGACTTACGTAGATGGACTTTTTGTCCCAGGTAAACATACTCGTCAACAACTTCAAGCTTAGTGCAACAGCACGTAGACACAGCTCAGAATTGAAATCAGTCTGTAGTTCTTCAAGACAGCGAGTGTCGTCGCTTTTCTTGAAGAACAAGACCACCGCACTTCTGCACCACGTCTCCGGTGTAGTGCCACCATGGAGGACGGAATTAAAGAGCTTCTGAAGGACTTCCAGTACCGGTTTTCCATCCGCTTTCAGAAGCTCCGCTGTAATTTCATCCTCTGAGGCCTTGCGGATTTTAAGGTGCTGGAGAGCCATTCTAATCTTGCTCAGACTGACGTCTGGAATATCGTCGGAATAGTGTCGGATAAGACTTGCTCTTGGATCGTTACTCACACTTGTGTGTGGCTCTAACAATGATGTGTACAGCTGCCCATAGAACCTCTCAATCTCACTCAAAATCAGGTGTCACGGAAATGGCGCTGCCGCACTCGTTCTCGGCTTTTTCTGGCAGACAGATGTCTAGCAAAGGCTGGAGCCCTGGTTCTGGATTAAAGTTGCGTAAGTCCCGCTGCATGCATTTGGAGATCTATCTGTTCAGTTGCCTGTATGCTGTCAAATCTACTGAAGACTGCAGCTTCATTTTCCGTCTAACAGTCATGAGACTAAGAGTGTGATTGGAGATTTTTTGTGTTCTTCTGCGGCGGGTCTTGCAAAACTTAGCTCCGACCGTATGGACAGTTTCCACAAGCTTGTCATTCATATCGTCCAGTGCCTTGCAGTGTTCTAGGCACTGAAATCAGTTTTGTAGCTCGAGCTGAACGGGATTTTCGATCAGAGCACGAGGGGCACGGAGCGTTGACTTCATTAGAAGTGACCTCGCCAACTTAACGTTTAGGTTCAGTGTGCCTCTCACCATTCGGCGATCGCCGCCGGTTTTCACCCTCGTGATCACTGAGACATCACTGAACAGCTGTCGTCTGGTCATCATAATGAAGTCAATCTTATTTTTTGTCAAACCGTCGGGGATGGAGCAGGTTCACTTCCTGTGGGGCTGCTTCTGGAAGAAAGAGTTCATCATAAAAAGTCCCTCTTTGTTCGGATGTGTTGAGGTTGGTGCGTAAACCTGTATGACCGTCAGTGAATACCGTTTGGGGATTTTATTTATTTATTTATTCTTTATTGCACCAAATAATTGTACAAAAGGCGAGCTTAATGCTATATGGCATAAGTACGGTATAAGTATAAGGTATAAGGTACGCAACCCTCTCGACACACTCTCAATCTTTACAATGTTGTTAATGAGAGACTTGTAGATGATAAATCTGATACCTCCTAGGGACAGATGCTTGCCCTCCTGGTGATAGAACAAGTTGCCGGATTCGAGGATTACCATGTACTCCCCCTCTCTTCAGACCTCAGATAATCCTATAATATTCCAGCGCAATTTGTCTATCTCGTCTTCCAGCTCCAGGATCGTCTTGTCAGTGCTCTAGGTGTGTGCGTTATATATGTTGCCAGGTCAAGTCGTATTAGGTGGATACCGAACCTCCACCGGAGATTCTTAGCACCCCCTGCCCCACTGTTACCATGGTCGCCACCGTAGCCAGGAATAGCGGGGCCGCCGGGGACTGGGGGCAGTCTCTTCGTATTTGCCATAGTTGCCACGCCCACGAGTGGGTTGGCAACCGCAGTTTTTTTATTGTTTTGCTGTTATCAGAAAGATGCTGCTGCCCATCTTCTGCCTCTGTTTCCCTCTGTCGCCTCTTACGACACCCACGGGAAGATATGGGGTAGTTGGTATTCTTACCCATCACTGCATGGGGCAACTTTGATACTTAATCAATGATATTATATGTTAGGTAAAATATTTGGCTCAGTTCTCAGCATGCTTTTCTTTCCCATTTGTTGTCTCTTGCCCGTGACTAGCTATTGCTTAAGCTACAGCTTGACTCAAGCTATATGGCAGGTCCATTGCCACTTCAGCTTGCTGATCTTTTGGGCTTTTTAGGTTACTCTAATACTACTGCACATATCACAAATTCTATCATGTAGAGAAACCCAGAGCATAGTCCTCTTCACAACTTGTTGAGCAACCTTAAGCTTCCTCATATGACCATCAGTAAAGGACCACCTCTCAGATCCTTGTGTCATCATTGGCAACAAGCATTAGTTTTGCACTGTACACACTGTAGTAGATTGTCAATTATACAAAGCCTAAAGAGTCGCTGCAACAAAAATTTAAGGAAATTAATATATTAACTTTGGCCTCTCAATACGTTTATGAAAATGTCATGTACGTACACAAAATTAAAAGTAGTTTTACAAAAATAAGTGATATTCATTGTGTAAATACTAGGAACAGACACAAGCTAGTAGTACCAATTACTCGACTCCATCGAGTCAGTAATTCATTCTTGGGGCGATGTATACGCTTTCACAACAAAATTCCAGAAAATATACAAAATTTGACCTGCTCAAAGTTCAAAAACTTTATTAAACTATGTTTGTATAAAAGGGTTATTATAATATTAAAGAATTTATGGATGATAATAACCCCTGAAAATGAGGTGGTCACTGCCAAGCTATTTCTAATTTGTTGTGTTGTTAATTTGTGTAACATACATGATTGTAAGCTGTTATCTTTAAAAAAAAGTCCCATTTGGTTTCTTGCTGGTTCTTCCCTGGACAGAGTTAATTAAACAAAAGACTTTCAATAAGTATTATTTATAATCTATATTGAATAAAAAGGTTTCTGTTTCCGTACATAATATAATAAAAATAATTTAAGTTGGGTAGAGTTGTTTATGATGTTTATATCGAACTGTGTCATTATAGTTCCATATATTATATAGAAATATGTTTACATGTCATGTTAAAATAAACAGGGTATAGATTCTGATATTTATTAAGTTTTTTGTTACTTTTAGTTTTACCTGAATTATCTTTTAATTTTACTTTTTGCATTAACTTATTATTTCATGGTAATAATAATATCAATAATTTAAGTAAATATTAAGATTTTAAATATATTTTAGTTTTTGGCTAATAATAATATTATGTGTGTTTTAGGATGATGAACGTCATTATGTGGACTTGACGACATTTGGATTCTTCCAGGGTGGGGTCTTGGATGTTCGCATGATTAATTTTATGCTACCCTCAGGTCCTGTTGTAGGAGAGGTGAAATTATATTTTTATGTTGCTACATATTTATTTATTTTGCTATGAAAGTTTAGTTTGTATAAATATAAATATATACATTATAACATATTACTGCCTCTGTAAATTTCTGAGTAAAGTTCTTTTACAGTATGGATTTACACTGGACAGAACTGTGAATGATGCTATCAACCCTTATCTAGAGGCTCATTCAGATACATGTTTTCTAAAAGAAAGTGATAATAGCATTGTGTCACCACAGCATCCGGCAATAGTTTTCCTTAAAATGGATTTCAAGAATTCCAGGTAATTTTTTTTGACTATATGTTTGAGATTATTAGAAAATGTTTTGCTAAAATATTCTACACCTCAATTCCAAACTTGCCTTTCTTATTCATTAATATTGATCACTTTGTTTACTTTTTGTTATTCAGCATCGATCAGCTGGTATGATTGTTGTGTTTTGGAGTTATGACAGTCCTATTAGTACATTGTGATCTGATTCATTGTGCTATGGGTGGTTACTATTGTCATACTTTTAGTAGTAATTAAAACACCTAATTTTAAATTTTTGTCTGTTGTTCCGGCTAATCTCCGTAACGGCTGGACCGATTTGGACGGGACTATCACTGAAAGATAGCTTATGTTATAAGAAGTAACGTAGCCTACTTTAATTTTAGAAAAATAATTAGGGTTCAGCGCAATAAAAATTAAAACTCTAAATGTCACACAAGTGAAGTCGTGGGGTACAGCTAGTTCATCAGATATATAATTGCATTACTACAGTAGATATGTATTAAAGTTAATAACTTTAATATTATAAACAGTATGCATTAGAATACTTAAATTATTATATATTAGTTATTTTTACTTCTACCTATCTACAGTAGTAATGCAATTATATATCTAGCTGTACCCCGCGACTTCACCCGTGTGACATTTAGAGTTTTAATTTTTTTTTTTGCGCTGAACCCTAATTATTTTTCTAAAATTAAAGTAGCCTACGTTACTTCTTATAACATCAGCTATCTTTCAGTGATAGTCCCGTCCAAATCGGTCCAGCCGTTACGAAGATTAGCCGGAACAACAGACAGACAGACAAAAAATTTTAAATTAGGTGTTTTGTTTTTAGTACCGCATATACTTTCATATGCATTTAGTAAAAAGTTGTTATTTTAACATTACAAACAGACACTTCAATTTTATTTATTTTTATAGATTATTATATTATTATTTTATTATTATATATCATATTGCATTCTTAGTTATAGGCAGATTTTTATGTGGAATTGTATCTATTACTTTATTTAAAACAAAATTTAGTCTTTTAAGGTTCCTCTGACTGGAGAAGAAGAGAACTATTGTCTTGAATTTGGATAAGTATTTTTGGATAAGGAGTTTTATGTTTTTTTGGTATATTAAATGCAAATATAACAAGGAAAAGAGGTTTGAAAAGAAATTTTGACTTATGAAAATTATTTGGTTGCTGTGCGAATATAAAGGATGTTAGTTATTGTTATATAAGGAATTAAATGTAATTATCATTTAGTCCGTTTTATACTTAAGCGGAAATTAAGACCTAGGTATAAAAGACGAGGCTTTAATTATATATCGTTGCTGATGATTATCATCCTCATCTTGTCGTATCATTTCTTGTGATAGGCCTGTGTATGAATAAGTCGCTTGTTAGACTTGTATATTCGCCCACATTCATCCTTGTCATTACCAGTCTGTGAATTCAAATTTATTGTTTTTAGATATATTTTTCTCATCATTCCATCATCCATTTGCTAATCGATCTGTTTAACGCCATGCAGCAGTGCGGTGGTTTAACTGGTGGGAATCGTTTGCCGGTGAATCCCACTACGCTAATGCGTTATGCTTTTTCATTATGATAATATTTTTGTTCATTGTCACCTAAAATGAGACAATAATATTAAGACGGCGAGAGCTGGATATAAAGAAGGCACCGAATCGAACCTGCATCGCTGCGGCCAAATACTGCGCTATGAAGCTGTCAAAATGTTTTCATATAGCCTAGCTTATTATTATCATGACACCTCAAAACTAGTATAATATTAATGCTGTAAAGTAATTTCAATTTCATGAAAATGGCAAAAACAGTTTATGCCATAAACTGTTTTTTACGTGGTAGAGTCATGCTTCAGCTATATTAATAGTATAGTTGTAGCAGGAATGGGTCGGCTTGACCGGGGAAGGACCACGCTCTCACAGAATACCAGCGTAAAATAGCAGATTAACGTAGCTGTTTCGTATGGTGAGTGTAGAGAACCGGAGACCCATTTTACTGAAAAAGAGGCATTCTATCTTAGTCCTCACGGCTGACAACGCATCTGCATTTTAATTCGCAAGCGAAGATATATGTAGACGTGGGTCACAGCAACCACTTACCATCAGGTGGACTGTGTGCTCGTTTGTCACCCTTATACTATAAAAAAAAAAAATATTTTTTATTATGGCAACATAATTTAATAATATAGTAAATACATTTTTAATATTAATTCAATATTAAAAATAAAAATATATATTGCCCCTACAAGGAAAAACAGCCAATAATTGCATGCTTGGCAGGCGAGTTGGCGTCCGCAATTTTTTATTATTTTGAATATTGTTATTTTAGATTTTAGATATATTGCAATTTTAGACGTTATGACGGCGTTTTTGAAGTTTTTATAGAAATTATGTTTCACTCGGGTCAGTCCGGCGATAGCCCGCTTCAACGGTTTTCGATGTGTCGCCTTAATAGTCTGCTGGCACTGGCCCTGTCTGTTGCATGTTGCAATATTTTATTTCACTTATTTGACTCATCATGGTAGCTCAGGGGTCAAGCGCTCGCTGTAAATTACACAGTACGCTAGCAACCCGGGTTCGATCCCCGCCGGAACCAATGAAAATGTTAATAGCAATTTTAAGTGCTGATTTGCCACGTGTTCGACGGTGAAGGAAATCATCGTGAGGAAAACTGCACGTCTGAGAAATAAGAAAAAATATTTCGCAGGCATGTGAAGTTCAACAACACGGATTGTGGCAGCGCGGCGGGCATTTCCTTGCCATAAACTCTAAGAAATGAGGCGTGTGCCCGGCTGTGGGACGTATATAGGCCGTTACTTTACTAATATACTGCAACGAGATTTTGAGATGATATTTCATCAAAGTTACCACACAACACCTAAGCTTATTAGACAGTACTTTCTTAAAATTTAGGACATAACATTAAAATGTTTAATTGTTGTAATATGCTGGCAACATTTTTTTTTCTATTTTTAATCTAACCTATAATTTTATGAGGAAATAATTAAAGAAGTATATGAAGGAGATTAAATAATCAATGAACTTTTCATAGCCTGAGAAATTAATCCCTATCACTTGTACAGTATATCCACAAAGTATATGTACTACTTTCATTTCTTCCTGGTTATTTTTGATTTCTTAAGATCAATAACTATTTTAATTTTCATAAGTTTTCAGTTGTCAAACGGAATATTCTTTTTATACATAATAAATGGTAAAATTAAAAGGTTTTTTTTTTATAGTATAGGGTGACAAACGAGCACACAGTCCACCTGATGGTAAGTGGCTGCTGTGACCTATAGACATCTTACATCTATCGTCAATAAAGAATCAAAATGCAGAATGTCGCCCATGAGGACTAGGATGGAATGCTTCTTTTTCAATAAAAATGGTCTCCGGTTCTCTACACTCACCATACGAAACACAACAGCATTAATCTGCTATTTTACGCTGGTATTCTGTGAGAGAGTGGTCCTTTCCCGGTCCAGCCGACCCATTCGTGCTACAACTATACTACTAATATAGCTGCAGCATGGCTCTACCAAGTATAAGAATAAACGTACGCGTAAAATATGCACGTATAAAAATAACTTTTGTACAACCGACTTCAATATAGGTAAATATCATTTATTGTTGATTTTTTAAAATCGCTCGACCGATTTCGATAAAATTTAAATGGGACTGACTACCTGGGAAGTATACCATTTGAAACAAAGAAAGAATTTTCCAAATCGGTTCAGGCGTCTTCGAGTAATCGGTGAACATACATAAAAAAGAATCAGACGAATTGTAAACTTTTCCTCTTCTTTGAAGTCGGATGATACGGATAACAAATACCTGGACAGTCACACTCAATCCACCTGATGGTAAGTGGATGCCATGGCCCATATCCATCCACATCTATCCTCGATTAAGGATCAAAATGCCGATACACCCCTGAGGACTCAGGATCGTATTCAGTAAAAAAAGTTATCTGTACTCACCATACAAAACAGCAGAATTAGCCTTTATTCTGTGAGAGTGTGGTCCTTCCACGATCGAGCTGACCCACATGCAGCTAAATTATGATTGTAGAACGTACAATGATAATATACCTGCAGCGTAGCTTTACCATGTATATAATATTATTTAATATTCGTCCTGTTCGGTGAAACCGAACACCTTTGTCAGCAATTGGCGCTGTACCGCCAATTTGTTTAGTGCACTTTCGTTACGCAACAGTGGCGGGTGCATTCATAACAATTTATTAACATTTTTGTAACTGTTTTAAATAAAGTGATTTTTTACTATTTCGAACGTTATCAATTCAACATAATTAACAAACAAGCAGACACACCCCCGGCACACACATCGCCGATTTGGTCGATAAACCTTCGTCTAGGGCGTCCCTTCCCGACCCTACCGTTCACTTCCGCAACATAAATTTGCTTTGTCACTCTTTCCTCGTTCATTCTTTCTACATGACCAAACCACTGAAGCATTCCTTTCTTAATCCTTGTCACAACGTCATCTTGCAAACCACACTTTTCTCTTATCACACTATTTCTCACCCTGTCATTCAGATTCAGCCCTAGCATACTCCTTAAGGAACGCATTTCTACAGCATTTATTCTACTCTCATGCTTCTTCTGCCAGACCCAACTTTCACTACCATACATTAAAGTAGGGACTAACACAGCATTATGAATTACCATACGTGCCTTAGTTGACACATTCTGACTCCTCATAATAGCGTGTAGAGCCCCATTCACTCTATTTCCTGCGTTCACTCGTCGTTCTATATCCTTATCATATCTACCATCCCTGCTAAATAAACATCCCAAATATACAAACTCATCCACTTGCTCAATCAACTCCCCTTCTATTCTTATTTCACATAAAGTTTTACTTTCTTCTCTTTCAAAAACCATCACTTTCGTCTTACTTGCGTTCACTTTCATACCCCTTTCTTTCAATGACCAATTCATTAAAGTAACCATCATTTGCAACTCGGCCGCCGACGATGCAAATATGACTTGATCATCGGCGTACAAAAGGCATTTGACGGTTGACTCACCCATTCTCAACCCACATTCTTCAACTTTCAAAGTTTGCAAACAACTGTCCATAAATAAGTTAAACAGCCACGGGGAAGCCACACATCCCTGTCTGACACCTTTATGAATGCTAAACCAGTCCGAGTAGACCCCGTTGATCCTGACACAAGCACTAGAGTCCCTATAAAGAGATCTTAATGCCCGTATCAAGCCAGCGCTCAACCCAAATGAGTTCAGTGTTTGCCATAACACATTCCTGTCCACTCTGTCATAAGCCTTTTCCAAGTCCATGAACGCACAAAAAACTTTCTGGTTTTTAGCCAAAAACTTCTCCGCTATCATGCGCATGGAAAAGACTTGATCCGTAAACCCCATCCCCTTTCTAAATCCAGCTTGCACATCCCAAATTTTTCCATCAGTTTCTTCCATAACTCTTTCAATTAACACCTTAGCATACAGTTTACCCACAATGCTAAGCAAGCTGATACCACGGTAGTTTTTACAGTCCTGCTGCGACCCCTTTCCCTTATATATTGGGACTATAACGGCTTTGCACCAGTCTTCCGGTACCCGTTTCAGTTCCCAACATAAATTAAACAAGGTGTGCAGCAGGCCTGTAACCACACCCTCACCAGCCCTCAGCATTTCGAGTCATACTCTATCATATCCGGCTGCCTTACCTGCTTTCATGCTTTTCATTGCTTTCATTATTTCATCTACACTTATCTCCCTACCTGTCTCCACTTCTTCCGGAATTTCTATTTCACTTATTCCAGACGACTCTTCACTCTTAAACACGCTTTCAAAGTATTCCTTCCATCTCTTTAAATTCGAAACTTCATAATTCAGCATGCAGCCATTCTCGTCTCGTATAGCATTTATTCTAGGCTGTTTTGAATTTCCCCTGGCAGTTCTTACGAGCTTCCAGAACATTTTAATATTTGCCTGGAAATTATCAGATATCCTTCTATCATTCTTATCTATCCTTTCTTGCTTTTTCCTTTCAACAACTTCTTTTACTCTCTTATTTATACGTCTAAAGTCTGCCTTTTTTCTTTCAATCTCATCATTCATACCGCCAGAATTACCAGCTTTAGTTGCTAGTAAATCTAGCCATGCTCTCTTCTTTGCTTCAACTTCCATCCGTACCTCATCATCCCACCACAACGTATTACTTTTCCTTTCATTCGTTCTCTTACTTACACCGCATACTTCGGTGGCTGCATCCACCAAAACTTTCTTAATATTATTCCATACATTCTTCAATTCTAAATCATTCATACATAATTCATTCAACCCACTTATATTTTCCCTCAATCTGCATTTATACTTCTCTTTCACACCTTCATCTTGTAACCTCTCTATTCTTATACGCTGTAACGCAGTGGTAGACACCGATGTCCGATGCCGCCAACGTCTGAATAGACCATTAATTCGGCATAAGACCAAGTAATGATCCGTCCCTACGTTGGACCCCCGGTAAACCCTTGTATCTACCACTGCGCTCCTCATTCTTTCATCCACAATTATAAAATCTATCATGCTTCTATCATCCCCTCTTTCCCATGTATACATGTGAATCCTCTTATGGCGAAAGAAAGTGTTCGCCACAAAAAGATTCTTTTCCACACATAGGGTGAGGAGGTCTTCACCATTCTCATTTATTCTTTCATCGCCAAACGTTCCTAATATCCTTTCATAACCAGACCTCTTCACCCCAACCCTTCCATTAAAATCTCCTAACATAATAATATTTTTATTAATTATTTTGTCCAATAATATAGCTGCTTAATTATTAAGTTAATCTGTAGCGTGTCAATTATAGTTATTTATTTATTCAATATAATATTAATATTTAAACAGGACATATACATATTTTTGTCTACCATATTCCTGTTCTTGTCTCCTTTAATGACGTATTGCCTATATCCTTAATACTTAAGTAAAATAAAATAATTGTAAATTTTTCACTGAATACATTAGCCAACTATTTTTAAGATTAGTAGTCGGTAATGAGGGCTAATAATTTTATACTTACCAGATGTCGCTAATTGACACTAAGGTCAAGTTTTTTGACACATAATGTCATTTAATTGAGAAGTTAGTTTTTAATAAAAGTTCATCAGTTTCTAGAGTATTATATTCATACAGAAAACAATGCCTGAGTGGTTTGCGCTTTAATTTATTGCACATTTTTAACTTCAAAAAATATACTTTATTAATATCTGTGGGTTGGTTTATTTTTAATCTTATTAATAAAAAATATAGCTTATAGTACAGAAAGAAACATTAACATTTTTGTAATTATATAATTATATATTATATTATTATAATTGAGCTTTTTAAAAAAAAGTCCCGCTGGGTTTCTTGCTGGTTCTTCCCAGGACAGAGGTTTTTTTTGCGAACCAGTGGTAAAAGTAGAAAATGACTCAATATGTTTTATGTACTATGATCTATATTGAATAAAAATGATTCTATTCTATCGATTCTATTCTGTAGGCTTATAATTAGATTTGATATGCCAAGATGAATATAAGATTCAAGCCAATTAATATTAGAAAACGGTTAATTTTATAGTGCTAAAAGCCAAAGAATTTTATTATTTTCTTAATTTATACCTTTGTCCATCATTACATTTTTATGTTTTGGTTTTATCTGGCCATTATTGATGACAGTAAAACAATCTAACTAGATATGGGTCTCAATACTATATTATTATAGCTGACCAGGCAGACGTTGTTCTGCCCTTTCCGACGACCATTTGCTTTCCTAAAAAAACTCCTGAGATTAACAATAAAAAAGTTGAGGGTCACTTATCGGGATAAAAACTATCCTATCTCTCAAGTTGGACCAAACTGCACACAGTGTGCAAAATTTCATTGAAATCAGTTCAGTAGTTTAGGAGTTCATCGCGGACAAACAATGTGACACGTAATTTTTATATATAAAGATGAGCTGTAGGATGCGTGTGATGGTTGCCTTCTTGGGGGAGGCGTACTTCCATCAGTAGATGGTCATTGTTTTTACAGTTAAGAAATTGCTTACTAAGCTCAACTTCTTTGTGGGAGTTATGATTATTAACTATATAGATTTCTTGGGTGCCTCCTTTCCTGCGTTTAAGTCCGCCTTCGTTGGTACCAGCTACATATTTCTATATTTATACCGCTGAGAAGCCGTACATTAATTTATGTGTTTCGGTTGTAGTAACTGGATAGTTCCACGCCGTGAGACTTCATCTAGATACCCAGAAATCATTTCATTGTTTAAAATTGGTAAGGGTGCCCATGGATTCAAGTAGTCTCATAGTTCTCATCTCATACGTTTTACTATTAGCTCCTATGCAATCTGTGCTCTCACTAATAAAGTGTTCCAATAAGATGTGCAATTGATTGTCCCATTGATTGACTCCTATCGTCTAACGCTTTAATTTTATGGGTCATTGGTTCAGTAGTTATAAATATACAGTTTAGATATAGATATTTAAGTTAAATAAGCTTACTTTTAATTTTAATGTATCTGTCATACTTTTAGATTAAACATAACATGTAAAGGAGAAGTAACGGCTCTGCATTTGTATCAAAACAGGACTGTTATACCAACTGACCGCACTAAAAGACAATCACAGTATTTGTTTATTAATAGAAGGAGGAGGGCTGCTATTGGTAATATTCTTGAATATACACGTGGTTACTTTTTATTTATTGGGAGATTATAAATTATTGAGCAAAGAAACATATAAGAAAGAGGATTATTTTTAAATGTATTTTTTTTATACGTAGGATAGGGTGACAAATGAGCACACAGTCCACCTGATGATAAGTGGTGGCTGTGACCCATAGACATCTACATTTATCCTCAATAAAGAGTCAAAATACAGATGCGTCTTCACCCGTGAAGACTAAGATGGAATGCCTCTTTTCCAATAAAATGTGTCTCCAGTTCTTTACACACACCATACGAAACACATCAGTGTCAAGCTGCCATTGTATGCTGGTGTTCTGTGAGAGCGTGGTCCTTCCCCGGTCGAGCCGACCTATTTGTGCTACAACTATACTACTAATATAGCTGCAGCATGGCTCTACCGCGTATAAAAGTAAATGGAATAAAAGATTAATTAAAAAAATGTATGTTATTTAATATTCATATATTTCATAGAGGAATATTATTTACCACGCTTGTCAGGCAGGCGATCAACTAAAGGTTTTTATTATTACAATCGATATGTTATCAGTAAGATGCTGCTGCTAATTTCCTATTTCAGATTCTTTCTTAGGACACCCACGGGATGATATTTTGGGCTAGAATATAATCTTACGCCAGTACACACATCATAATACATTTTACGTACAGAATTAAATTAATTCATAATAAGTTATGTATATCAAGGTATTTGGTTAAGTATTCTTTTTTATTTCAGGTTTTTATAATATCGAAAAAACTTATGTCACACAATGCTCTAATGCAGTTCTGCCAATAACAAAAGAAACACGTAATGGATTTGACTATTATAACACTAGTGTAAGTTTTTAAGTGTGAGAAATTTCTGTTGCTGCAGATGGACGATTATAAAATTGTACTTTAGAGTGTGTACAGATCGAAAGCATTTGATTATATTTAATTATCCTGATTCAAGCATTACGGTAGTATGTCGAATGTCCGTTCGATTAGAACTTTTATCTAAGAGTAATGTTTAAAGTCGAACTTTGCGATGTTATATCATTGGTAAATGCTTTCGATCAGTACTTAAACTAAACTTAATAATTCCTTGTATTTCATTAAAGTTTTTCGAATCTGTTTATCCTAAAATGGTTGGTGATGTATCTTTGAATAATTTCTTAGATTTAGACAAATTAACATTTTGAATCTAAAATTATTACATGATTCATTAAATTTAACTCTTATTTTTCGTGTACTTTCTGCCCCCACATAACAGTAAATAATACTTATTAGGTAGGTACAGGCTTTCTGTAGGTACAAGGTACAAGTCAACTTATTCAAAATATAAAATGTCTTATTGAAGTTCTTTTTTAATAAGTATTGTAACATTTCATTTAAGAACCTAATTGTTCCTTCAGCAAATGAATCCGATGAAATATTCAAAGAAAAACAAGGATTAGAATTTACAAACAGAAGTTTACTTAAATAATATAATATTAAGTTGATGTTTATTTCTTTCAGTTTGCTATGTATGTTGCGTCGGACAAAGAGGAAGGATTGTACAATTTATACTTTCACAATTGTCCTGGAAAGGACAATTCTCCCACTGTTAACGTAATGGTAGGTTTACTCGAAATCATTAAGTAGATTATGAGATTTTATCATTTATAGCAGTGATTCCCAACCAGTGGTCCGCAAGAACATAAATATGATCCGCGAAAGATTTAAATATTTTACCTACCTAATTGTTTTAAATAACACATTTATTATTTTCCCGTCACGCGGTCAGTGCAACACCGAGCCTCATGTTAGTAAGTACCTACTAGCTTTTACAAGAAATACACATGATACTGTTAATGAATTCTTCTTTTAAGTTTATATTATATAATTATTTAAATGTTGTGATTATGATTTATAGTTAGATTAACACTTCAACATTTTTGTACCTTGTGGTACCTGATAATTACAAAAAAAAAATCAAAGTGGTCCCTGGTCAAAAAAAGGTTGGGTAACCCTGTTTTATACGAATTACATTCTCAACTCCAGTATATATTATATGAACAAAGGTAGAAATATTACATTACTGTAAATAGAGTATTATGTCTGTAGTATGAATTGGTCTATTGGACGAGAGAAGGATCATGCATTCACTGGTAAGTGTAGAGAACTGGAGACGCTTTTTAATTAACCTCCGACGCAAACAGAGGGGTGTTGTAAATTTAACGTAGCTGTGTGTCTGTCAGTGGCATTGTAGCTCCCAAACGGATGAACCGTTTTTGTTTTAGTTTTTCGTTTGGAAGGTGACTTGATCGAGAGTGTTCTTAGCTATGATTAAAAAAAATCTGTTCAGCCCTTTGAAGATCATCACCTTTTTTGTAGTTCATGAGGGTATGAGAACAACTTTACCAGGTCTGATCGATTCGGAACTTTACTTCAGTGATATTGCAAGAACGTGGTAACCTTGACCTGATAATGAAATACATCCTGGATTCTGCAAGATTCCCAGCTCCTTACCAACTTACAGCACAGGTGTTTGGGCTTAGTAAAAGGTCTCAATAAATAGGTTAACAATAGATAGATATCAGGGTCGGATGAAAGAGCAGGCGACAGAAAAGAGGATAAATTGGTGAGGGATAATTTTCACTCGATATGAAATTTTGGTATATGATGTAGTTTCGTTGGTGGCGGATTGGTGTATAAATATCGCGGGTTTCGAACTATAGGGGTGTATCCACAAAACCGTTACTTTTCAGGAGAGACAAAAAACTTAATAACTTTTCTCGTGATTGAGCCAGCGCGTGTTTTTGCATGTGGCCATATATTTACACTTCAGTTACTGTGGGATAATGGATTTTAAGGTATTTCCTCTATAACACTAGATTTTGGTCTTTACGTTTATTTGGCATGACGGCGAAACGGTAAAACTCCGTAAAATTTGCCTAAAAATGCTTAGAATTTACGGACGTAAAACAGTTGTCCTTAAATTATTAATAATTGTACCAATGGTAATTTGAACCTAGTTGGTGATTTTGAATATTGCAATTTTGGAACGAGAAACCATAAAAATTCACGTTATTTCCGTGATTTTCAAAAATTGTACGCCTGTTTGGCTTGTCAATAATATTGAGAGGTGTTTGGTTTCTAAGCAGAAGTATAAAACATTTTTGTTCAACAAGCAAGAAAAAAAACAAATGGTAGCAATTACATAATATAATATCAGTGATAAAAAAAGAAAAAAAAAGCATTTACAAAATAAAATGTATTCATAAATCTGAATATAATTATTTAAAATTACATAAAATTACCAACGATTAAAATTGAACATAAGACATTAGAAGGAATAAAACCAGTCTTAAAGGAAACTTCTAAAATTAAAGTTTATTCATAATTCAAAGAACATAATTATTTGAAATAAAAAAAAAGTTTTGAGAACAGATTTGAAATTTAAGACACATGAAATTTTCTAAAATAAAATCTAAATCGTTAAAAGAATTAGATTTATAGTTAATTTATAGTCATAAAAACCAAGCATAATACATTCTCTAAAACATTAAAAACACAATAAAGGTTTCCAAAAAATAAGAGCATAGGCTAAATTGCACAAGTAAGGAAAACTTAAATAAAAGATACTTAAGTTTTACTTGTCTTATTCAGTTAATATACAATATTGGCATGCCTAATTAATGCAATTTGCCATTAAAATTATTAAACGATAACAAATTAGCAATTCTTATTGCAATACTGGTGTTAAATGTTATGTAAAATTTTTTGAAAGTGCAATATCTTTTAATTTTTTAAATGACCAATTGCAATAAAGAGGCATGCCACGATTATATACCTAAAAATACACTATAAATAATTAATCAGTTTTTGTTTTTAGGTCAAGGTCGTAATAAGATGCTCTTGTTGAAGCAAGTGTTAACTTTTCGTCATCATTATTATTAGCTCTTATCTCCAAATTTTCGTTTCCTACAACAGGCGAGAATTTTGTGGTAATTTTTTGGAATAGTTCTATCCCCTTACACATCCATTAAATTTACTTGTTCTAATGAATGTGGTCCTGAGTACAATGTTGTTTCCATATAATGAGAATAGTCCGACCGAGTTACATTTCTGCTTAACCTTACCTCCTTAATTTTTTCTCTATTCGAATTTGACGAATTGAAGAAAAGCGAATCGAGAACTTTTCTCACTTGTATCCATCTGACGTTTGCCCATTTAAAAGAGTACCATGTGTTGGTTTTAATGTGTTTCCAATAGAAATATCTCGCATCGCCTTAAATTCTTAAAATTTTAAGTTATCCGTCACCTCGATGTAATATGCTCTTCATACTCTTCCTGATTCTCTTTCTGTTCTTCTTCGGGTAACTGCTCAAACATATGACACCAGCATTGGTCTTGTCTCTGTTTGTGAAAATCTATATGTCTTTCCAGTATCTATTATTTGTATGAAGTTTGCAGGTAGAATCCTTTTTCTTATAATGTTGTTAACATAACTTATAGAATCAGCCTCTTGATGACTTTGACTAATGATGCTTACTGATTCCGTCAGTTCTATTTTAAAGGACTGTTGTGGGTTGCCCATTGTTTAGTGGAGAAGGTTGAATATAACTTAAGGATGTAATTTGTACATTGGGGAAGGCTGCCTTTCAACAATGTGACAAAACAATCATGAATGTAATTAGGGTATGCTATAGAATCATCATCATCACGCTGTTTCTGGTAAATTTTTATTATTTGTATTGGTTGTTGTCGTTGATTTTCCTAATACGCTAGGTCTAAACAATGGCTGCACAGAGGGGATTGGTATATAGTGTAAGTTGTCTATTTTGAACTGAAGAAGCTCTTTAAGCAGTATTTCATTGATTATTTTATACTGATATTGGTGTCAAATACGAGACTAATTAAACATCTTTTGTATAAAACTAAAAATATTTTTTTATTCAATATATATTACAAATAATTCTTATTAAGTAATTTTTACTTTTACCACTTGTTCTGAAAATGTCCCTGTCCTGGGAAGAGCGTGAAGGACCACGCTCTCATAGAATACCAGCGTAAAATAGCAGCTTAACGCTGTTGTTTCATATGGTGAGTGTAGAGAACCGGAGACCCTTTTTACTGGAAACGAGGCATTCCATCTTAGTCCTAATGGACTAAGAAACCTAGCGACAAAATGGTTATATTATAATAACAATTTTTCTACAGTTTTTGTTTAATATATTCTTTAAACTTGGTCATTGAGACAACTTGTATATTTTCTAGTACTTTGTTGTTTCAATAACCGACTCTGTGTATAAGTTAAAAATTTAAAATCCCCTTTGGTTTCAATTTTTAATTTAGCTGGTAATGAGGCGTTTGACCATGATCCTCAGTGGTGACAACGCATCTTCATTTTGACTCTTAAACGATGTTGTCAGGTGAACTCTCTGCTCGTTAGTCTTTATTAGGTTATAAGTTAATTAAATATTAAGTGATTTTACTTTATTTCAGCTAGAAATATATGAAAGCAACGATGGAAACTTTTTATCAGCGGGTGAAATGCCACTTCCAGCGCTGTACAGCATGATGTCAATTATCTTCTTTTTGAGTGCTGGCTTCTGGACTTTCATCTTGAAGACTAGTACGCATACTGTCTACAGAATACACATAATCATGTGTATTCTTGTGTATCTCAAGGCGCTGTCATTGGCTTTCCATGGCATTAACTACCACTTCATTCAAACGAGAGGCGAGCATGTTACGACATGGGCCATACTATACTACATAACGCATTTGTACGTATCGATACAATTTTATTATTACTATTATTTTATACTTTACTAGCGACCCGCCTAGCTTTGCCTGGGCACGATCTATTAATGTGGCGTTATTTAGATTTAAGACAATCAAAGGTCATTTCTTTTATCATTTTTTTTTAAAATAAAGTTACTTTCATAAAATATAGCGCAGACCACTCTTGGTATTGCTCTCTATCTGTTAGTGACGTTTTGTTGCAAGGAGTTCAACCGTTCCTAAGATTAGTCCGGACAGATAGACATACAGACATACAAAAATGATTATTCATATTTTAATGGCATGTAAATATCGCCCTCAGCTCAATAAAAGGCAGTTATTTCGATATTACAGACAGACACTTCAATTTTATTTATATGTATATTTATGTATTTGTACTATGTACTGTATGTGTATATGTGTATTATGTACAATTTTATTTATTTATATGTATTTATATACGGGCTTTTGGGTTGAAGCGTTGCTAGTTCTCAAGTCTAGGTGTATGTATATGTATGTGTACGTTTATCGAACTTGAGGTTTTTGTTCCTTTTGAACTTAAAACTTCTTTAGAATCGTAGTGATTTGAAAATCGATGAAACGAAAAAGCGAAACTAAAAAGAGACAAACATAGAATTTAGCTTGCGTGGGAATGAGATAGAATACAGTACACAGTGTTTCCTATTATTTTGGTCCCCTCTTTGTGCGGGGCTTCGTAGCCTCCCCACTCTTGTCTACTAAGTATTGAATATATGTGAAATAAATTCAAATGTCAAAAAACTTGGTAACCATATTATAATGAAGAAACCCTCTAATTATCCCACTCCTGATGCTCTAAATTCATCTCATTCTCTCGAAGTTTAGTTTTCTGACACTTGTGAACTGCACACATGTTTTTTTGTACTTATTTTTTTATACTTTGTCACAGTCCGCGCCCACTAACATAAATGTAAATAATTGTTATAGTTAGGAGTATTAGGTGTAATAGTCATGTTTGGAAGGTGGATTTCGATACGAGGATACGCATCCTTAGGCCTTACTCTTGTTGCCAGTCTGGGTGTTTTACATCTGGTATATGAGAGATAGTTATTTATACTGCTACCTAAAGGAGGCCACCAGGATTTTCTAACTTTCTGTAGTCGTCCCTGAGAAACACATGCGTCGTCGGTTGTTACATAGTCGCCACTTGAGACAAAATTTATATTGTATTTTTTATATATTTTAGTGATTATAATATTGTAATTTTGTATACCAGTTGTGTTCAAATTTGATATTCACGTCGTTGTACTCAATTGCATCAAACGGTGACACTATTATTTAATGTTTAGTATCCAAATTTGTAGCCATTACAACTAGATCTCGAAGGTTACTCAATAAACTAGACTATAGATATATATATATATATATATATATATATATATATATATATATATATATATATATATATATATATATATATATATATTAAAAAACCTGGAGTGTCGGTCTGTAATATTGAAATAACTGGTTTTTTTTTTGCATGCTATTAATATATAAATACCCATTTTTGTAATTTTTGTCTTTCGGTCTGTCTGTCTGTGTGTTTATCTGTTCGGACTAATCTTCGGAATGGCTGACCCGTTTGGGATAATAAATTAATAGATCTCATATAGGCAATATCGGGGCGTGACGTTAGGTTAAAATAAAATTTCAGATTTCAATTCGCGCATCTGCAAGTGGGTGAAAATTGAATTACAAAATTCCATTCCATTCATACATAAATAGACATACAGGTCAAGCCTGTAAAATTTGACTAAATCATCACCTGTACTCCCCTGCTTCCTCCTCTCAAACTAAACTAAACTGTCCTGAAAAAAAAAGTTTTTTTTTTGGATATATAAGATATAAGAATGGTTGTGGCTATGTTATATTAGCTTGAACTGTATGTATGTATGTAATTTTGTAATTTAATATAATATGTTTTGTTATTAAATTATCACCCAGTTCCAGATGTTTAAATAATCTGAAATTGATCGACAGACATGTCAAGATCTGATGACAATACAGTAATTTCGTGACTATAACCTAGTAATCACGCTAAGATCATCATAGCAAATTTTAAAGTCCTAAACTGCATAGAAGCGACATATCATTACTAACTTATTTTGTTTTTGTTTAAGGCTTAAAGGAGCAGTGTTATTCGTAACGATAGTGCTCGTTGGTACGGGATGGAATTTCATCAAACACATTCTAGCTGACAGAGATAAGAAGTTATTCATGATCGTAATACCTTTACAGGTTAGTAATTTGGTACAGTGTGTTATATTTTTTATTGGACATCTTCTATACCATTTCAAATTAATGCTAGATATAGGTGTTTACAAAAAGAACCATATGATATTTTATTAAAAGATCTGCTGATAACACACTAGGCAGACCCGCATTAATTATGCAGCTTGCTGTCAAAAGTATATGATATTTAAGTTAGGCATTTTTGGATAAGGGTTCATCAAGGATTCACAAAGGTGAATCCAAGGTAAATAAATCATAAACTTTTATGTAATTAGACAGTTGGGTGTATGTTCGACTCGAACGGAATTTGGAGCGTGAAATGCTATTATTTATTTCTGGTGGAGCCCTATTCCCTGGCCTCATTTCACTCCTCTAGGTTTTTTTTACATAGAATGTTTTGTTTGGTTTTTTTTTATATAAAACTAGCTGGTACACGGTGCGATGCTGCCGCAGAAAAAAACGCTAGAAAGCTCAAACACAAAAAATTATTATCATGTTTGTCCAATCCATTCATAACAATCCATGATTTCAAAACTTTTTTTATAGGATAGGGTGACAAACGAGCACACAGTCCACCTGATGGTAAGTGGTTGCTGTGGCCCATAGACATGTGCATCTATCCTCGATTACGAATCAAAATACAGATGCGTTGTCACCCATGAGTACTAAGAAGGAATGTCTCTTTTCCAGTAAAAAGGGTCTTCGGTTCTCTACACTCACCATACGATACGCAGCAGTTATAAGCTGCTATTTTACGCTGGTATTCTGTGAGAGCTTGGTCCTTCTCCGGCCGAGTCGACCCATTCGTGCTACAGCTATACTACCAATATAGCTGCAGCATGGCTCTACCACGTAAACTTACCGATTAATAATTTTTTTGGGGTTTATGCCATCTAGTATCTACTCTACCTTGAGAGAATCAATTTTTGTTCGATAAAATGACTTTAGCTATACAATGTGGTAGATTGCGCTATTACTCAAATGCGATCACTCTTGCTAAACTAAATACGTGTACTTACCTTGGTAACTGTCTTGAATAAAGTTAATATAAGATTAATATTTGAACGAAAGACTGTTGTAATCTTGTAATTGTATTACTATATACTTTATGGCAGGGGTCGGCAAGAAGTTTTAGGTGGGGTCCGGATACTGTGAGAAAATTTTAACGAGGTCTAGAAAAAAAAAACAACTAATTTGCACAAACACACACACGCAGGCTAGGTAGGAAACTAATCAAACCATATCAGATGTAGGTGCTTGTAAAACAGGTTAACTAAGTTAAATTCTATGTGGCTTAAAAATATTATTTTAATTAATAAAGGTATAATATACCTTATCTACGTATTAATTTATACTTGGTATGCAATACATTACAATGTTTAACGGTCCGAGGTTCGACCTTTCGCGGCCCGCCTGTTGCTGACCGATGCTTTATGGTATATAATGGCTACCACTTTTCGTCACACAAAAGGGTTGCGGATCAGAATTTCAAAACACTCCCGTAAAAAGTTTAACTTCAAAATAAATAATAATATTTTACGTATTAAGTATTACAAGTATATTTTAAAATATAGAGTGTAACTGTAGCTCAAGGACGGTTTAAATGATTTTTTTCAACATAAAATATGCAGACCACTATGTTAGTCCTACAAACAGAAGTCTTTGCCAAAAATATGAGCAAAAGCATCATCTATTACGACAACGCTGCACAGATAGGTATTATGTTAATGTGGTACTATATCTGTATTAATACGAGATTAGTATAGCTGTTGCAAAACTTAATTTTGTAACAAAAATAAAAATTACAAAAAGAAAACTACTTTTTATATTAAAGTTGGTAAACATTACTTTGCGTACATCCGCTCGATAAAATAAATCCGCTCTGCTCCGCTAAGGTAAGCAGTCTTTCTTAATGTATTGGGAGTAGTGGGGGTGCGATTAGTGGTGACGGTGATAGTTGAGGGAGGGCGGGAAGTGCTCTTCAAACTAGGTAAGACATCATTTTATTTTGTCGCGTGGATGTACGTAAAGTATTTTTTATCAACTTTAATATAATGGATTTCCGCAAAGTAACGCCTGATTCTATTAATCATTTATTTATAATCTTAGTTCTGTATGTACTTATTTGTTTTAAAAACAATATTTTGATTTCAAAGACTGGAAAGGAAATATTAAAAACGGTCAACCAATTTGAAACCATTTCTAGTCGTCTTCAAACAAAAAGTTAATCGATTAAAATATTCATATCATAAGTATTAATATTTTTGCTAGATGTACTTGTCTTATTGCATAGGAATCCATCTGGGTAGGTACCACATCCTTTTGCCTATTTGTGACACCAAATAGAAGCGTTTGCATTGATGTTTCGGTCGGAATGGTATAGAGAGGCAGTATGATCACAAGCTCCGAGGTATTCCTCCTTAGGCGTACAAGATAACAAACCATCTGTTGTCTTCTTTGTTTGAAGTTGACTGCAGGTGTCCATGGACTGCTGTAGCCGCTCTGGTGGACAGTAAGTTCATTTATCACTTCAGTTTTAGAACAAAAAATATCTAGTCTAAATTAATACTTCATCAAGCCAGACCAGGCTTATGCCTTAACATGCCTCTTTTTAAAACTGGTCATAAAATATGGTCTAAATAAAATAAACCCTTTACAAAAAAAAAACATGTAATATGCCTTATTAAAATAGAATGTTTGTTACAAAGAATCTCTGTTTCTCGTTCGCACTTTATTATTTAGATTTAAAATTGTTACTTGGCAATGTAATGTTTTGTCGATTTAGCTATTAATAAATTTTGTAGCAATCGTTAGGTATGTGTAAATATTAGCATAAGGAGAACTCAAGAACAGTAAAAATATAATACAATGGGATCTAAAACTAATGTTTGCATACGTAGAAGTATCGGGTATACGTTTCATGCTAAAACAGTTATTTGTGTAATTGTTTGAAAACACAACATTCAGTTATTGCTTATTTTAGAAAATATTATCAACATCGAACATTATCCCTTAGAGTAATGATCCTTGCACAATTATTTAATTTTATAATTTGAACTAGTGCAGTTTTAATAACAGGTTATAATAGAAGAAATAGGTAATTAAAATATACGCAAGCTACCTTGGTTTAATCTCCGCCGGCACCAACGATGTTTTATATAATACGGGGCAAACGAGCCCGCGGCTCAACTGATGGTAAACAATTACTACCACCCATAAACAACTGCAACACCGGGGCACTTGCAGGTGCGTCGTCGGCATTTTTAAAAACAGTAGGCTCTTTTCTTGAAGATCCCTAAGTTGTACAGGTCCAGTGAAATAGCCGGTGGAAGTCGATAGCTATTTTCAAGTGCTGATTTACTACGTGTTCAGCGGTGAAGGAAAACGTAAGGAAACCTGCACGTGTGAGGAGTACTATATTTCGAGGATATGTAAATTTCGACAACACGCACTGCAGAACTACGGTGGAATAAAGTTTGTCTGTGCCCAGCTTTAGAACGTAAATAGGCTGTAATTTTACGTCATAACAGTTCATTCAACATAATTTTTTCTTTTGTATTTTACTTATTCTTTTTAAACAGATAATATCTTAAAAGTTGTTTTTATTGAATTCGTGGCTTTAAACAACAGAACATAACTTTTTAAAGAATTTAAATGAATTAAATAAAATTAAACATCATGTAACTTTTTTATACAACTATAGAGGGTAACAATCGAGCATACAGTCAAGAGAGTAAGTGGATGCTGTAGGCGATAGATATCTATACCTATCCTCGATTAAGATTCATAATGCAGATGTGTTGTTACCTCTGATGTGTTTCCAGTGAAAATGGTCTCCGTTTCCTAACTATCATACGGAACACAGAACAGTATTAATCTGCTATTTTACGCTACACTGGTATTCTGTGAGAGCGTGGTTCTTCCCTGGTCGAGCCGACCATTTGGCTACAACCACAATATAGCTGCAGCATAGTTCTACAACTTAGAAAGTGTAGTGGATTATTCTTTGTTGATTTAAAAAACATATGTTGACATTATTATTTAGTCACATTTTAGCTATGTTAATATAATAACTATATTTATCATTTACTCTTACTCCTCGTGTTATAACGTCGAATTCATTGTTAGAATAACAAGATAAACGCGCGTTAAAATAATTTTCAGTGTGATATACAGCGACTACCATTAAATTGTTTGTTATAAGGATATCATTGTGTTCATGAGGGGACTGAGGTGTTCAGATCCATAATGTCATAGTTAACCCCGGCTTACTTCAGCATATAATTAATTATAATTAATTTTGGTCCGATCTACGCAGACAAATCTTTTAGCATCTTCGTCTTGCCGTTGATATGCTGGGATATAATGATGTGGGTTGGCATTTCATTATATTAATACAGCCGAACCTGAATAAGCGAGAGTTCAGGGGACCGCGATATCTTTTTCGCTTATGGAGGTTTCTCAACTAACCCAAGTTTCTAGCTTTAGAGGTACAGGAGTAGCCTTTCTCACTTATAGAGGCTTCTAAAAAATACTCATTGGAATATGACAAAAATGCTTACATTGAGAAAACAAAAAATCATACAACAATATTTACTAAATCCGTTTATTTCTTTTTTGCGATTTCTTGCACTCAAACGCATTCACAGAGACAACACTTTGATTTTTCGTTTTAACATGGCGAGCCTTTCTTCGCAATTGATACTTACGAGGGCGGCACTGAAAATTTCGGGAATCAAGGAAGTGACACAATATTACTATTTAAAAATGTATTTATTGCTTTTCGAAGTATTCTCCGCGAAATTTGACACATTTTTCCATACGATGGAACCAATCATTGAAGCAACCATTCCATTCGGAAGTTGGGGTCTCCAAAATGGCCGTTTTGTAGGCATCCACAGCTTCTTCAGGTGATGAAAATCTCTGTCCACGCAATTTATTCTTTATTTTAGGGAAAGTATAGAAATCATTAGGGCTTAGGTCGGGGCTGTACGGCGGATAGTCTAATAATTCTATGTTTTCTTGCTCTAAAAACTCTTTTGTTATGTGTGCGGTGTGAGAACTCGCATTGGCGTGATGGAGGATGATGCGGCGGTTGCAGTTTTCTTTACGGAGTTCAGAAACGACCTGTTGCAAAGAAATGCTAGCATACCATTCTGCATGAACCGTTCTTTGTCCCTCAAGAGGAATAGTCGTAACATGGCCGGTTTTGGAGACAAACATGGCCACCATTTTTTTTGCAACACCGTGAACGAACAATTTTTGTTGGCTTTAACTCATTTTGGAACACCCAAACTTGTGACTGGTTTTTTGTTTCCGATTCGTATGCGTATATCCAGGATTCGTCACCTGATACGATGTTGTATACAGCATTTGAGGATCCTGCGTGGAATCTTTCGAGAGTTCTGACGCACCAAGTAACGCGAGCCGCTTTTTGCTCTTCACGGAGCGAATGCGCTTTTTACACCTAATTGTTCATGCAAGATTATTTGTATTTGACTCATGCCAATGTCTAAAGTTGCCTGAATTTCGCGGTATGTCACATGTCGATCTTCCTCAGTCAGCTTACGCACAGCATCAACGTTTTCTTGGGTGACTGCAGTTTTTGGACGACCTTGACGGGGATCATCACTGAGCTTGACAGGTCCACGTTGAAATTCAGCAAACCAGCGATAAATTGTGGTTTTGGATGGGGCTTCATCACCAAATGCAGAAATCATCCGGTCAACACACTGTTTTTGTGTTAAACCACTTCGAAAGTCATAATAAATCGTCGCTCTTGAATTTTCTCGAGTCAATTCCATTTTCTCAACGACTAAACAAGTTCGACCAAACCTTGTGACAAGACCGAGAATCTTTTTTTAAGTAAATAAATGGTAATCGATTTTTAAAACCAAGTACTTTTCAATTAAAAAAATTTAATATGACAGGAACAGTGGAAATATTCCATTCCCGATACTTTAGTGCAGCCCTCGTATCAATTGTAGTAAAATCGACAAATAATTCGGTACACACGCACATTTGGCCATTCGAATAAAATACGATCCAAAAACAATGTTAGTTAGTTCCTCAAAATTTAAGAATCAGTCATAAATAGCAGATGTTAAATAAAGTCAACTGGCGCTTATAGGGGTACGGGCAAGTAGCTGTCTCAGTTAATCAGTTATAGAGGTCAAAGAATTAAAAACGACTTTCTCTTATAGAGGTTTCTGTTTCTCACTTATAGAGGTTTTTTAAGAGGATTAAAATGACAATTATTCTCGCTTACAGAGTTATACCGCTTACACAGTTCTCACTCACGCAGGTTTGACTGTGATAGCATCCCGAACAGATATTAGCACCCAGCTATTCTATTAATGAAGTTAGTTTATTATTTTGATATCAAAAGCCTCGCAAGTCGTTCAAGGTAGGATTTGCGGTCTATGTGCTATTTATACCTAGTCAGGTCATAAGTTCTTGTCAAAAGCTTTTTATAAAATTAATGATACGCTTTTTGATAATTATATAGAAATTATATATGAAATGAAAGGTCATTTAATTTAGAATACAATTTTATTTACATTACTCAAAATTCCCTCCCCTATTTTGAATACATGCCCTTAATCGAAGCGGCCAATCATAATTCGCAGCACGCATCACATTCATATCTATTTCGGCCGCTGCTTTAGCCAAAGATGCTCGGAGAGATTCCAAATTCTGATAAGGCTTAGCGCAAAATTTTTCTCCTCCAAATGATGCCATATCTTGTAATCTAGTGGGTTTAAATCTGGACTAGAAGAGGGCCAGATTTCATGTCCGATAAAGTCCGTGGAATTCTACGGGCGGTCAACCAGTTTTGCGTGCTTCGTGCCCTATGAGCTGGTGCAGTCCTGTTGGAATATCCAATGTCTGTTTTTGAAAATTGTTTGAGAAAGAGGTTCCACTATGTTTGTTAGGACGGTACTTTGGTACACCTCGGCACTGGTTTTTACACCTTTTTCACAGAAAAACACCTCAGTTAAGCCTGAATATGAGACTCCAAGTCAAACCATGAGTGACGAAGGATAATGTTCTTGAATCCTCGGAATACGTGTGCTGGCTTCTTCACTGCTGTGGGCATACACCTTATCATTTTGTTTATTATAACTTTCTTCGATGTTAAAATTTTTTTCATCCGTAAACAAAACTACGCGGCATTTTTTTCCCACGTGCCGCCGTAACAAAGCACGGAATCGAATCTAATCTAATCTAATCAGCCTAATTTTTATCAAACGCTCGTTAATAAAATGTCCGGTCTTCTTACGATAAGCTCGTAGTCCTAGGTCTTCATTGATCATTCTTTTGATCGTGGTTCTGCTTAGGCCCATCTGAAGAGCTAAGATTTTTTGTTTACGAACAGGATTTCGTTGGATTCGCGCCTTTACTACTTTGATGATCGTGGGTGTTCTAACTATACGAGGTCGGCCAGTCGTCTTACGATCTTCGAAGCTTGAATCTTGAGTGAATCCTTTGATAGTGCGATTAAATCGTAGGGTTATTTTCAATTTTTGTTGAATATTGAAAATCTCTTTTGGCGCGTAACCACAGCGGTGCAACGCGATATAACTGCTACTCTATCTTGTTTCTTCGACCACTCCATATTTAAAAAAGGATGGAAAATTAATGTCTTTTTTATTTTCGGCAAGCGCAAACGTTATATTTTTAAAATTGGTGAAGTTCATCTAGCCAGTATTAAAATTTTTAAATAATAAGGTTTTGACAGAACTTATGACCCGACTAGGTATATTATTTGACGATCCTGAACAAGTGCACAGACTATGTTCTGTATTTTTAAAGCCTATTATGGTGGTTAATGTGAAATATTCTTTCACCCTCTCACCTTTGAAAAGGCTCCACATAAGCCTTTAGGCAGCATGATATGCTAATGACGACGATTATGAATAAACTGTACTGGAGTTGATTTGTCCAAAATAACAGGATAATTTAATTAAACAAAAGTGTGACTTTCAATGAGTATTATTTATAATCTATATCGAATAAAAAAAGTTTCTGTTTCTGTTTCAAAAATTTCTGATAGGACATTAGAGCAGAGGAGAATTTTCTGCCTCGTCATCGTCATCACCATTAGCTCGTACTCAGTCAAATCCTGAACTTGAGCTTCTTTCATAGCAGGGAATATTTGGCATTTCTGAAGTATCTGGTCGTACAGTTTTTCTTTTGTGTCTCATAAAATCTTTATGTCTATGGGTCTTTTGTGTCTCATATGATGTTTATACTCCTACTTTTTGTGCAATGTGGGTGTAGGTAGGTACAAATTCAGGAAGTAAATAGGAGCATAGTTTTGAGTAATCCTTCCTACCTGTTAATTGTAACAATTACATGATTTATGCTAAGATATGCCATAAGAGTTACAAACAAGCGATCAGTCAACCTGATGGTATATTGTTACTACAGCTCTTTACACTTTAACGAATAACGTGAAACGAAGTAGTCAACACATTCGTTATGACTACGAAGCACTAATGGACCTCCTCCCCACAGAGAGTTAACACACTTACAAATATCACCCCAGAGAAATTTACGAGAGTGGGTTAGCAATAAGCTGAAATGGATTGAAAATATATATATAAAAAAAAAAACAAATTGTTGTAGGTTGTAGCAAATGTAGCTGAAATAATAATAGCGGAGAGCGAAGAGGGAGCGGCGGAACACAACGCATGGCGCGATCTGTTCATCTTCGTGGACCTACTTTGTTGCGGTGCCATATCGTTTCCAGTGGTCTGGTAAGCGTTATGCTTTATATTTATTATGTTAAAACAATATAAAAAATGATTACATTGTTCAGATAAGTAATGTGGTAGATGTTTTCAATAAGGCGCACATGAGTATTTTATGTGAAGAACACCAATCCATTATTCATTTAGTTAAAAGAAGTCGCCCTAAGCAATTACAAAGTTTACAAAATTTACTTGTTATGTATTATCTAAGTACAAATATACATATGGTATTCGAAAAAGAAATTATGTATGTTTATCTGTAACAAATTACCAAAGGAAATCTTAAATGTAATTATCATATGTCATAAAAAAAAACGAAGTTTTCCTTCAAGTGAACAGTACACACGGCACAGTTAAACTCATAAGGCTTTTAGTGTTTGTTGTGTATGTCTTAGTGTATGTTGAATTATATGTATTGAACAATAAATGAAAAAAATGACATTATATTGGGATAACAGTGCGGTGGTGTAGTCCATATTTCCTCGATCTCTGTTCCACAAAGCAGTTAAGCACCCGAAACCTCGGGAATTTTTAATAACTTAGCTTGTAGCGCCCTCTTAATTCTCCGGGCGACGGCCCGGGTTGCCCACCTCTAAAGCTACCACTGGTGAATTTATTGGTTATTACCGTTGTGTGGTTTTCATTATCTGGTTTAGTTTAAATCATTGAGTCTATTTCCTACTTTCGCCTTTCTCTATCTTAGATCGTGTTAGATGTTGGTACATTTTCGTTGAAATTGAGTAAATAATACTTAAATATAAAAAGAGTAAACGAAATATTAGTAATTGACCTTTAAAAGTGTTGATTTTTAATAGCTTATGTTATTCTGTAATATATTATCATTCTCAGGTCGATACGTCACTTGCAAGACGCGTCGAGCACGGACGGCAAGGCAGCGATAAACCTTCGCAAATTGAAGCTGTTCCGACACTTTTATATAATGGTCGTGTGCTACATATACTTCACACGAATCATCGTCTCTGTGCTGAAGGTGATTCAGTAGTATTATATTTTTTACAAATACAAATCAACAACATTATTTATCTATTTATATAATATTCTTTTATAATATGTTTACAAAAAAGTACGCAATACGCGGTCTTATTGCTGAGAGTAATTTCTTCCAGACAACCAATACAAGCAATATATTATTGAATAAAATAAAATATATAACAACAGAACGGTAATATCTTATATATTATGCACACAAACTCATTGAGGAGCAGTAGGTGACAAAGACAGCCGTGGTAGCCTAGTGCTTAGTTTTAAGTGCTAATTGGCACATGGTCAGCGGTGACGGGAAACGTGCGGAAACCTACACGTCTGTGGAATGAAATATTTAACACGGGACGGAGCAGCGTGACGGACTAATTATTGCTCAAATAAACTTCAGAAATGAGAGGAGGCCTATGCATAGCAGTGGCACGTATTTTAACTAAATGCTTGTAACTTTACTTTTAGTGGACAAGCACTAGAAAATATAGTAAGTAGAACACAGACCTTAATAACGTAAACATTATAAATGTTAGTGTACTTTTTATTCTGTGCAGATTTTGGTGCCTTTTCAATACTCATGGATCGACGAGATGTTCCGTGAGATGGCTACTTTCGTGTTCTTCGTGATGACTGGTTATAAGTTCCGACCGGCTGCCGCTAACCCTTACTTCACACCTAACCAGATTGACGATGTCGAGCCTCAAGTGTAAGTATAATGATCTTTCAGCCTCATCTATACTCCAAAATATAATCTTTAACCAAAATTGAAGTGACCGTTCATATTTTTATTTGATTTTTAATACGAATCTAACGATAAATAAATATTTATTTATTTTGTATCATAGAGCAACACGGTCCTCCGGCGTACTGGAAGGGAGAGTAGTCATAGAGATTTTCCCAAATCAGGACTGTCTGTCATTTTTTGCGGTGGGCAATCTGCACACCCAAAAACAATCGCCTGTCATAACGAAACTCAGCACACATAACAATTGAAACATTATACTTACAATTTTACACACACATATACATATTATAACACTGTCGCTGTCAATGTCAAGCGACAGTGTTATACGTCACGGAGCAAATACAAAGAGGAGACTGCCTAAGCAACTGTGCACTGTGATCTAACTAGGTCCTGACGTCATCACAGTGGGCGTGGCTTTAACGTTAGTATTTTGTCAGCGTTTCGTCAGCGTCGAAAATCGCAAATCGTAGTACTAAGAAGAAAAGGATGAACTGTTGTGTCTTATCGTGTAAAAACTACTCAGATAGACGCTCTGATGCTATGGACGGCATAACATTTAATTTAAAAGTAATTTTATACCTAATTTATTAAAATAGTTCTAGAAAAATCTCTGCGTCGGCATTCAAATATATAATCAAATATATTCGACACTAGATAGTAACACTTTGTGTCACGGGAACTAAAAATATAAAGGTACGTAGAGCTCAGTATTGGTAAAATAATCATACGAAGGTGCTGAAATTTGTTTTGAATTCAGTTCTAAAGAATTTTAATTGCCAAAATATTATTTTTAGTTTTTATAATCATTTTGTGAACAGGCCGCCATCTATCGTCAAGGTAGCTAAACTACATTACAACGTCGATATGGAACGATGCGAGTAGTTTTACTATTCATCGGTAGATGGAAATTGTTAAGTAGGCGGAGCTTAACACCCCCTCACCCCGCAAATTGTCATGCGTTGTTACATAGTGAAATCTAATTACAACACCTCTTTGTATTTGGTGGTTATAATGTATCTATCTTGTTTCTTTGTAGAAAACTTGGAACAGTCGCTCAACCGATCTGCATATTGTATGAAGACGAGCGACCTGTGTTGGTATACAAATCCGAAACTACACGACCGTTATTATTGTTATTTTTAAGTTTAAAAAGAAATAAATAGCAATAATGTGATTAAATATTACTTAAATATTATGTTTCGTATATTATATTTGTAGATTTTATTCGAAATGGGTGTATATATATCGGTAACGTAATTTTTATCGCCATAAAATTTATAACGTTCTGAGAAGTTAGTTCTCGCTTTAGCATATATCCTAAAAGATTCTTAGGATATATGATTTTATTGTTCTTGCTTTCATGTCACTTTATTTTAAATTTTTGGGTACTCTTTAGCATCCAAAAATGCTATATTGTTAGTGTAAAATTTACTGTATATTATCAGCCTTTAGAAAACTTTTTACGTGACAGAGCCTGCATCTAAATGAAATAATTTTTACGGATTTTATCGCGTATATTAACTTATTTTATATTCCCGACGTTTCGAGTACTTCAGTGCACCCAGAGTCACGAGGGATAAGTACAGGATCGCCGCCGTCACTGCATCAGATTTGATAGACCTCAAATTCTCGTTAAAAACACCGATTCTTTCCATGAATGATTCGCGAGGCTATTGAAATCATAAAACATCCTTATTTCAGTAGAGACGATGGCTGGGCCATCTGCTTGAGATCCTATAATTTAAAAAAATCAATAAGGCATACAACTACAAGACTTCAAGATACTATAAGCTTATTCTGCGTAGATCGGACCAAAAATTAATAATTTTAAACTGAAGGTAGTGAGTGACCATGGGTGCTGTAAACTACTCGAAACGTTGGGGATATAAAATAAGTTAATATTTGCGATAAAATCCGTAAAAATTAGTTTCATTTAAATGTAACGTCTCGTAAACATAAGAAATCATAATGCTGCAGCTATACATATATTATGTTTGTAGTACGAATCGGTCGGCTCGACTGAACAAAGGCCATGCTCTCATAGGATACTAGCGTGAAATAACAGCTTAATGTTGTTATGTTTCGTACATAGAGGGCCACCGGCGGATCGGAGGGGGGTAGCCATACGCAAGCATTGCCCTTTGTCAAAGTACAATAAAAACAGTTGCAGCCGTATTGTTCACTAGACTAAATCTAGTTGCGCGGCTGATTCGACGTTCTAAAAAATACCGAATTATTGTGTTTTATTTCTGTAAAAAGCCTTTCATACGTTACTCAATTCGACTGTATGTTTTTTTTATATGTCTTACCTCATAACTTGTTTCTGGGTGAACCAATTTCGATGATTCATTTTTATTTTAAAGCTGGTGCTTCTCATGTGGTCCCATACAAATTTGATCAAGGTCTGACCAATAGTTTTTGAGTTATTCTTAAATTATTTCTTAATATTTATTCTTTATATTGAAATCGGTTGTACAAAATTTTTATTTTTAAATTATTAAAATATTATTGCTAGTTACTTCTTATTAAACTTAAACATTACAATAATAACGGTCGTGTTGTTTCAGAATTTGTTTGTTATCAACACAGGCCGCTCGCCGTCATACAATGTGCAGAATGGTCTGCAAATTGGTTGTCGCTGTCACTGAGCGATACTGTTATAACGTATCCATGTGTGTGTGAAATTGTTAGTTTATTGTTTTAATTGTTATGTGTGACTTTCTTACGAACGTACGGACTATGTTCGTTGGTTTGTTAATCGATTAAAAAGTAAAAATTTCTATCACAGTGTGCGCTGCGTGCGATTCCTCCCTTATTGTCTTACGACACAATAAAATTAAATATTTAACGAAAGCATTTTTAACTTAGTTAAACAGTGTTATATTCTTAAACAGCCTTTTTCGTGCTTATGCCTATTCATTCTTACCTCGAATCTGGGCGAGATTGTATTGTTTATTGGCATATAGGCAAATTATTTTACCCCCTTACTGTACGTGGAATAAAAGATGTGAGGGAGGAATTAAAGCATGTAATTCCTGTGCAAAAACATAATTATATATTAACAAATTTCATTAGTAGTAATTTTTCTTTCATTGCAGATTATCAGATATTGGAGTGCTCGAAGGTGTCACTCGAATATCGAATAGAGAAAAAAAACGTGACGATATGCAACCTCTAATGCAGGAGACAAATTATAATTCCGACTAATAAAGCATAAGACTAAGTAGAAGTTTTGTATTATAAATTGTCATTGTTTTATTTTTGTAATATAAAGAATTCTTCAAGCGTCTGCGGTTATGTAAGGGTCCTTACACGTGGCGAAATTTAAACGTTTCATAAAAGCAAATGTCCTAATACAACTTTACACGTTTCCGCAAAAGATAAATTTATGAGTAAGCCTCATGTGAATACACTGTCGTATGGATCACACTGAATGCTGGCAAAAATAAACTATTTCTAGTGCTTGTTGTTTATCATTGTTTAATTTATACAATCAAGCAAGCAAAGAACAATATGTGACGTACTATTTCGTATTAATACGGAACTCGTAAATATTACAAACGTTTGTTATAATTGGGCTAAAGAACTTAACTAGCTAGCTAATTAAATGATTCTATTAACGTTCATTCGAACCAAACTTAAAATACTATCAGTTGCTTAATATAAACATGACTGAATACGGAAATACCTTATTCCATTATCATCATCATCATCACCATTGTCATAACAGACCATCACAAATCAGCTGCTGAACATAGACCTCCCCCAAGGAACGCCCGAAATTACGGCTCTTAGTACTTCGTTTACCGCTACGATTTTCTTCGAACTTTCTGGGCGGCCCAATGCCACTTCTGCTTATTGGTCCGCTGAGCTATGATGCTTGATATACTTATAATAGATATTGTATGTTACTATTGAATTAATACAGAATATGACACTTATAGGTTTTTCTAAACATAACCTAAAAGTTTTCAGTGGAGTTATTATTCCAAAATGTTTTAGTCATTTTTAATTTAAGATAAATGTTAAGGTTTTTTTTTTATAGGATAGGGTGACAAACGAGCACACAGTCCACCTGATGGTATGTGGTTGCTGTGGCCCATAAACATCTACATTTATCCTCGTTTGCGAATCAAAATGCAGATGCGTTGTCACCCGTGAGGACTAATATGGAATGCCTCTTTTCCAGTAAAAAGGGTCTCAGGTTTTCTACACTCACCATACGAAACACAGCAGTGTTAAGCTGGTATTTTACGCTGGTATTCTGTGAAAGCGTGGTCTTTCCCCGGTCGAGCCGACCCATTCGTGCTACAACTATACTACTAATATAGCCGCAACTTGGCTCTACCACGTGCAATCAATAATCTTTACATATCACTGACGTCTACTCTAAGTATACTGGACTGGCTGTACACCGTGACATAATGAGGCGATTTGATTATTTGATTAGAGAAGATATATTTATATATATATATTATAAATATATATATATATATATATATATATATATATATATATATATATATATATATATACACACACATATATATATATATATATATATATATATATACATACATATAGGGTAAAGGTTGACTTTATGGTGATAATAAGAAAAAAACTTAAAATTTTATTTCAAAATTAACATTTATTAGAAAACCTCTTTACTTATTACAATAATCAGACTTTTCTTTTCAATAATTATTAATCACAGCAACTTAAATTCTTAGACATTAATAGGAAAAGCAGATCAAACAAATCTTTTTGGTGTTGGCAATATGGAGATACGGGGGCAATTTGGTGATACCATATGTGGCAATATGGTGACAAGTCTATTCAGGTGCCCAATCACTGTCATCAGTGCCTGAAAAGTCTACTTTATCACAATTATCACACAGGAACTGTGGCGACTCTGTACCAGTACATTCTTGGTGGTACCATTTGCCGCAGCTCATAGCTCCGTTCCTAAGTGCCACATCTTGGGAGTAGTGAACACCGCAATAGTCACACATCGTACTTTTATTTGATTTTGGTGTTTTCTCTACCTTGACTCTTGGTAGTTTACGCTTCAGGTTGCTTTCAGTTGAAGGTCCAGGAGTTGGAGAAGCAGAGGGGACACGAATCGAGGTAACGGTCTCCTCACTGGTAACGGCGACTGTTGTTTCGTTTGATATGGCGACGATGTTTTCTTCAGGACTGTCCATGTTGTTCGTGCTTTGAGGTGTTAAATATCGGGCCTGTGGATTCCGCTTAGCTCGTCGGGTACTAGAAGAAGAAGACTGTGGTACCTCAGGAACGGAAAGTAAAGAGAAAACTGAAGGTGACGCAGTTTCACGATTAACAGCAGAAGCTTGGGCATTATCAGTGGAAGATTCAATATTCTGTGACTGTAGGTCACTTGGCTGCATCAATGATGGGGCAATACTTTCATCAGAAATGGCATTTCGATCAAATGGCGCAATGCCAGTTTTTCGAAAGCCGTTCATAATTATTGACGGCTGAAATGCATGCTCGTAGGCTGGTGTTAATAGGCGACAAAAGTCAAGCCTTGTTGGAGCACTCGTTGGATGTTGAAGCTTATAATCATTTAGCACTTTAGCCCATGCATTTTTCAGTGACTTGTAAACAGAAACGTCCAGAGGTTGCAGGAGATGGCTTGTGTGACTTGGAAAAGTGAATAGATGAATGCCATTTTTTGTAGCAAAATCTATAACATCTTGGCTGACATGGGTAGAGTGAGAATCCATGATTAAAAGTACCGGTCTAGCTGGTGGAATATGAGCTTCAAAATGATGCATCCACTCCAGAAATAGTTCAGAGTTAATCCATCCGTTTTTGGATAATCTCACGATAGACCCTTCCGGAGCACCATTCGCTAGATCATTGACCATTCGGACACCTTTAAAAATGATCAAGGGGGGTACAGACGCTCCGCTCGCACTACAGCACCCAAGCACCGTTTGTGTGACACCTTTCTCTGCAAAAGTTCTACTGTAAATTACCTTCTTTCCAGTTTGAGTGACAATTTTTGACGGTTTTACGACGAACGTTACACCGGTTTCGTCGCAGTTATAAATCCTTTCAGGCTTTTGCAGAATATCCAGCTCAATAACGACGTCCAGTAGCTTTTTATAAAAATCGTCAATGTTTTGTCTGTTAGCAGTAACAGCTCGGCATGCTGCAAGCTTTTCTGGCGTGTGCAATGAAAGCCCGTACCGTTCTTTAAACGACCACCACCAATAAGGCCCAGCTTTACGTTTAGCATCGTTAAACTGGTGATCTTTTCCTGCTTGGACTGCTTTTTTTTTTTTTTTTTTTTTTATAGGATAAGGGTGACAAACGAGCACACAGTCCACCTGATGGTAAGTGTTTGCTGCGGCCCATAGACATCTACATCTATCCTCTGTTACAAATCAAAATGTAGATGCGTTGTCACCCGTGAGGACTAAGATGGAATGCCTCATTTCCAGTAAAAAGGGCCTCCGGCCACCTGCACTCACCAAGCGAAACGCAGAGGTAAACCTCTACTTCACGCTGGTTTTCTGTGAGGTCGTGGTACTACCCCGGTTCGAGCCGGCCCATCCGTGCGACAATAAAAGCTGCCGCGTGGCTCTACCACTGTTAAAAGCGTAACATTTAGCTTTGATGTCTATGACGCTGAGACCAAATCCTAGTTCTTGCATTTTAATTATGTAGGAAACAAACTTACATTCAAGGTCGCTGTCTAATGTGAATGGTCTCCCAAGTTTAGGTAAGTCGAAACTTTCACCTCCATGAGTAGCTATGTGTCTTCTCAAAGTAGACCACGGTATGCCATATTCCTTCGACGCCTTGTACACTGACCAATTATCCTTTATAACTTTCATATAAGCCTCCTTGAAGCGTGAAGAGTCATAATTTCTGCGTTTCTCGCCCTTCATTTTCCTGGGACTAATGAAACACAACCCGATATTTTTTTTAACAGAAAGATACATTTCGAGCTTCATCTACCCTGAAAACTCCATTCAAATTAAGCTTGAAATAAAATAAAAATAAGCTATGTAATGTTTTTGGTAATTTGGTGATATTTACGTACCGATTATCCTCCATTTTTTCGCATATTTTGGCGCGAAACAAATAAACCGCGTCCGGTGAGGACAGCGACCAGCGGCCAAATGAAAGAGAGATGAACATACTCGCCTTCAGTTCATTGAATGAACGCAAAACTCGCGCTGGGCTTTATAAAGACCGTTGAAAGCAAAATTATCACCATATTGCTATATATCACCATTTAGCCAACCTTTACTATATATATATTTCTATTTCTTAAACTTTTGGTGCAAAATATTTATTTAAAATGTTCACTTCGAAGCCTTTTTACAACACTTACTTTTTACGTGAAATTATGAGTTTAAAGTGGTTTTACGATAATTAACTATTTGTCCCATGACCACTATTACCTATAGAACTGCGTGACATCTATACGTAAAAAATCGCGGGTAAAAGCCAATATGTAATAATAAAATTACCTTAATTGTGATAATTATTTTACCCCTAAGACTATAAAATACTAAATATATGATATCCGGTTCATTATAGAATATGATAATAGTGTAATGGGGATATTAACAGGAACATCAAACAAATAAAATGTATCCAAATTATCAAATTTCAAAGTCAATCGGGCGTATAGTACTCAATGATGTTCTAATCCACTGAAACAAATTTCGTTTTCATTTTATTACTTTTAAGATTCTGGTGGCACATACTAACAATACTAAGGAACATGAAGATTGCAAACAGGTAATAAGTTATATTAGTAGGTGTTTATGTTTTCCATACGCCAACATAAAGTAGTTTAGGTTGAAAAATCAATATAAAAGGACCCTTACATTTTTTTATTTACAATCATTTAGTGGTTAATGCACTCGAAATTTTAACACCATTATTTTGTTTTGTAGCTGTACATTTATATCGCGTTAAATTATAATTTATAACATTATTTTGAACATTTTATTTACACCATAGAATGTTTTTCATTTTGCTTTTGGCCTCAGACCAACAAAGAAAACAAGTGTTCAATTTATTGTGTTCAATTTAATGTAAGAACACACACTCACGCACAAATATGCATCTTAAATTATTTGCAACAAACAACATGGTTTAGGTGCAAATGTGTGCGTCCAACCGTGAACTTTTACGGGCTGTAGAAAAAAAATATGTGCATGAGTGTGTGTGTCGACAAATTTAACATGGTTTCGGCATTATCAGAAATGTACGCAGCTCCCCATCTATCTTCACCTTAACATTTAATTTAATGAAATGTAATTATGGAAGACCTTGTATTATTGGAATACAATTAAACGCTATTATTATTGAGACGTAGGTGTTTATGGAGCAATAACACCTTTGTCTTTTTTTGTATGATATATATATTCTTATTTCAATATTAGAACAACTGCTTGTGTGTATCGCCTTATGTAGTGTCATAATATGTGAACTGTTACGTTATTAAAACGGCTTCGTTCAAATTTCAAGTGTAATTATTAGCAATACTATGTGCCAAAGAAGTTGGCATTACTTTGTACAATGATATGGCGTGCAGCTCGCTCAATACATTTAACAATAATATTTATACACTTCCGAATAATTAAGCAATCGACCAATCTGTAGTTGTAGTGGAATGCTATTCTCGTAATTGTTAATTATAATATTAAATTTATAATTCATTGTAACATTAGTTTTTGTGACATTTGCTTTTATTTCATTAATTAATTAGTGGCAATAACATTGGAATTGATTAGAAAAAAACTAGATATCTGGACCCTGGTAAATTAAATCAATTTTCGGAAACATTCCAACAATATTTAAATATGTCTAATAAAGTAACATATCCTTTTACTTTATAATTTGGCATGAACTAGCATTAAGATAATGTGGTAACCTATAGAGTATAGATGTTTTACATATAGTTAGTTTGTTTTACTGTTTAAACTTTGCATCGTCTGCATAATAAGCTGAGCATCCGTCCATTTTGATAGGGCATGCAAAAGGATATAATTTTACGAATCTGAAATTCAAATATTTCTGTGTGGTAACTGATAAATTAACCAATCCGTTTCTATCGTTCTATGTGTATCGTGAGATCGTATAAAATTCTGAGCTGAATCATTTATCCTAATTTTTTTTCTAGACTACCCAGCTGAGGCCTTTAACCTTAGGCCCTTAGCCTTTAACGGTTGAAGCGTACGCTATTTCAGTTGCTAATACAAAGCTCTTACTTCAGTGGCGTTTAATGCAAATATCCCAATTGATTAGTGGTTTAACAAAATAGAACTGGCTTATTTCATTTTTATAAATAATAATATATTAAGTTATTCGCTTAAATGTATGGGGATTATTAAAAAAAAACTCGTCAGCCTCTTACATTTTGAATTGAGAATGCTGTTTTCCAATTTAAGATCTCAGACAAACAAAGAAAGACGAGCCTCTTTGTACATTTCAAGTAGCGCCATAACCATTCTCAACTTATTGCAGGAACACGTACTTATATATATACAATATGTAACAAAAACCATGTGGTTCCCGTTAAGTACGTTATCAGGATCATTATTCAAACGTCTAGAATTTTTTTTTTAAAAACTCGAACAATATCTTTTTTTATTTTAATTTAAAAAAATTCTATGCAAATTGTATGTGGTTTTATTACCTCTGCATTGTCTGGGGAGTAAGAGGATTGTCAAAGACCGCGCTTCACTCAGCTTTAGCATCGGCTAGTGTTAGTAAGAGGCAATAAAAACACATAAAATAAAATAAAAATGTTAATAAAATAAAAAAATAAATATGGTCGAGTTTTTACAAACAGTTATTTCTATTGGTTTGAATACTGATCCTAATAACGTACTTAACGGGAACCACAGATATATATATATATATATATATATATCTTTATATCTTTATATATAAAAATTAGGTGTCTACGGTTTTAGGTGTATATGTGTGCGTCCAGCCGTAAACTTTTACGGGATGTCATAGAAATAAATACGAAAGATGTGTGCAAGAATGTGTGTTTCACTATGGTTTTGGTGTCACTTAAAATGTGCTTATTGCTTCGTCTATCTTTAATATAATTAATAGAATCAGGCGTTACTTTGCGGAAATCCATTATATAAAAGCTTTTACAAAAATTTACTTCGCAAATATCCGCGCCATAAAATAAAATGATGTGTCTTACCTAGTATGAAGAAGCACCTCCCGCCCTCCCTCAATTGCGTGCACTATCCCCGTCACCACTAATCCCAGCACCGCTACTCCCAACACCACTACACTAGGCAAGACACACCACTGACGATAATACGACACGTGTTTCAGTAAGTCACTTAGCGGTTAGCCACCGTAGAGTCTATATCACCTGAGGATGCCTCGTGTAGAGGCGAAACACGTGTCGTATTATCGTCAGTGGTGTGTCTTGCCTAGTGTAGTGGTGTTGGGAGTAGCGGTGCTGGGATTAGTGGTGACGGGGTTAGTGCACGCAATTGAGGGAGGGCGGGAGGTGCTTCTTCATACTAGGTAAGACACATCATTTTATTTTATGACGCGGATATTTGCGAAGTAAATTTTTGTAAAAGCTTTTTTTCCGTCTATCTTTATTTGTTTGCTTGATCTTAAAATAAATTATTAAGCTTCGCTAACTTTAAGGCAGGCTGCATTGCATTGCAAAAATTATTGTAAATGTTATTAGTACATTTTGTTCGAACTGTCGCATGAGTATCGTATCGTCGCATCGTAGGTAGACCGTAATGCTTGGCGGCCATATAAATGCCCGCCTAATGTGCATTAAGGCCAGGATTTCCTCCCTTCCCTACTCCATTCATATTCGTCCATCACGAGGTAAGCAACATTCGGTGTACAATAGTTACTTTATTTAAAACGTTTTTGCTTATTACCAGGAAATAGAGGATCTAAGTAAAAATGTAGTCGATGTAAAATCGAATTTAAAAATGTGCAATCAAATTATTCATGCTTTCATATTATTATCAAAATAATATATTATCGCTTATATGTTTCCCGGCAATTCAATTATAATTTTTTATCTCGATTAATATAAAATATTCTAAATCCTACACTATTTCAAAAAGTATCATACCTCGCGCAACACAATCTTGTCTAAAACACAATATTTTTTTCAACTGAATTTAAGTCGTCATGCCCTTGAGGCGAATTTTAATTACAATTATGTTTTTATATATTTTTTATTTCATTTGTCGTTTGTAGGTCATAGAGCAACGCGGGCAACCGGTGGATCGGAGGAGAGTAGCCATACGCAGGCCTTCCCCTCTGTCAAAGTAAAGTACTAGCGGCCGTAAGCGTACAATAAAACTTGTTGCACTTTCCACCAGACTAAATCTAGTTGGGCGATTGAATCGACTTCCTACAAAATGCGTAATTGTTCGTTTTTTTGTTGCAATAAGGGACCTGCCACGTCAAATTTTCTATTTTAAAAGGCTTTACCTTTACTACTTAAGTAATTTTTTAATCACATTATTGCTATTTATTTCTTTATAACCTTAAAAATTACAACAATAACGGTCGTATTGTTTCGGATTTGTTCACCTACACAGACCGCTCGCCATCATACTATATGCAGATCGTTCGAGCGACTGATCCGAGTCTGTATCCGAGTTGTCGCTGTCACCGAGTGATACTGATATAATGTATATAATATGTGTGTGTGTGTGAAATTGTTAGTTCATTGTTTTAATTGTTATGTGTGTTTCGTAGGTACAGACAATGTTTTTCGTGTGCGCAGATTTCCCCCGTAATAAATGACAGACTGATATATATCGGGGAAAAACGCTATGGCTACTCCCCCCCGGTTCCTTCGGTATGTTTTTAGGTACTCATTATAAGCGGGGAGGGCGGGGGTATAAAGTGACATAACAACATTCTCGCGATAAAGCTACCGAACCCAAATTCCACGAAATGGTAATAGTGATCAGTGCAACAGTATCAGTTCTACTCTCAGTTACGTATGACATTCGGCTATTAGTCCATCTGTGGTTGTGGTGGCCCCATTCAAAAGGGTAATTGAACGGTTGTTATTTATTATGTTTTTGTTCTTTAATCGATAACACAAGTTTAACTTTTGATTTATATAATGTAATAAGTGTTAAATAACTTAATATAATATAATCATAAAATAGGATAAGAATACATTTTAAACTTGATGTATTTAAATACATATATTATCTTAAGAGATTTATTAATATTGTTTCCTTTTCTGTTTGTCTTTTTTTTCAATATATTTGTTTCAATGTACCTAATAAAATAATAAATAAGATAATTATAACACCGAACTGGTGAAGCGTTTTCAGATTCAAGTTACCTAGGTACTTAGATTAATTCAGTAATTCTTAGGATACCTAAATAATTAACATTTGTAATTTTCGAACGACTTCTTTCATAGTTACCACAATAGTTGCGGTATTCAAATGCAGGCATATTATTACATGGTACGATATTATTTTTTAATTTGAAACATTTTTCACCTATATCCTATCCAAGATACTAAAAAAATATAATTTAAAATTAAAAGTTTTGTACAACCGACTTCAATATAAATTATTAAGATTAACTCAAAAACGGTTGGTCACACCTTGATCATATTTATATGGGACAACATAAGAAGCTTTCAAAAAAAAAGAATCAACGAAATCGGTTCACCCAGAAAAAATTTATGAGGCAACACACATAAAAAAAAACATAAAGTCGTATTGAGTACCTCCTCCTTTTTGAAGTCTGTAGAAAAGATACATAAAAAGGGTTCTTACGGTGTCGCTTTTAAAATCATTAAAACGTAAAATAAATATCAGAATAGAATACCTTACATTTTTAATAACAATAATATTGACAAAAATGCACGTAGATTTCAAATTTACTAATTAAAATACATAAATGAAAAAGCTAATAATTTTCGTTAAAAGAACCTAAAAAGCATACCATTACTTTACGCTTTTTATGCTACCTATTTATAGTGTACAAACAAAGGGACTAATTTACATTAGACATCTGCTCTATGTTTGTATGTTTTATTTACTCTATCTCAACTCGTTAATGCTAGCGTAGTTTCTCCTTGTTTTTATTCGTAATTTCGTTGTTGTTTCGCTTTTATTTATATGAACTTTTTGTTAAGTTTGTTCTCTTGTATGTAACTCATGTTGTATTTATTTTAATGAAATGCTTCTCGCATTTCATTAAAATAAATACAAGTAATATTGGGCCAAGTAATATTTGTATTTTTTCTTCATACATAGTACATTAGGCATAGTAGCTTGAATAAAAACATTAAAAAGACTGGCTTGTTTGTTTATCATAATAATTTTTTCGTATGGTGGATAGGGTATAGTTATTTGCGGTTTTATCATTATTTTATTAATACGTAACAAAATGAGTAGTATACAGGACTACAGTTATAATTTCTCCTAAACATAATTTTTTTTATAACATGATGCTTTTTTATATTAACAGCTTATAAAATGTGAAACTAAATTAATAAAATAACTTAATTCATTTTCCCATCTCAAATTGTATCTTTGGCTTCTTTATTTATTTGGCTGCTTATGTTTGTTATTATGCTATAGTGTAAATACTTTGACGAGTTGTAGTTAAGATATTTTGATTGTTTTCATTATTACAATTACTTACCTATTTTTATTTTGGTTTTGCATAAGGACCAATGTTTATGTACGCAAAAATGTTTCAAAATTTCCATAGACTGTTTGATAACTATCATATTTTAGATTTACTATTAATAGGTAGTGATACATAACTATAGGTATCTACTCTAATCTATTTAAAAAGTTCAAATGAAAAAATATTTACATCCACACCTATTATTACGATCCTTATTGATATATTTAATTAATGATGTGAAATAAAAAATAATAACAGCGAATACACCTTTTCCAAATCATAAATTACTCTTGGTGTAATAAAGATAAAAAGGGAATAATGATGTTTACACTTTTGGCGAACATTTTGATTATGGCATATCATAGACATTCCTTTGGTATGTAAACAATTCCCGCATACAATTTCAAACTACATTAAGGTATTTATAGGTACATTGTTTCCTTATATAGACTAGATTAAGGTAGCAACAAAAATATTATTTATATAATTGATTTCTTTAATTGCTGTTTAAAGTAATGGTATTATTGTATTTAAGTATAAATCCCGCATGTAGTTGCATTTGAATAATTCAATTCGATTCGAACAAATAACGCTCGACGAAGTAATAAATTACCTATGTTGTAGCTTAACCATTTCACTGTCCTGTGAGTCATAATATGAACATTTCTATTGTTTAACTTTTGTCTTTCGCGGACAGGGAAGTTGTTAAACTGAATAGAATTGGTACTAGCATAATATAATTTTAATGTACTATATATAAACATTTTATTGTACAAAATAAATCTTTGAATTTATTTAAATATAGACGTATTTTTTTGGCCTAATATGTAAGGCTTATTTAGAACACCTCAACAGAACAAATATATTTGATGGAAGACCACACGAGTAATATTACATCTCTTAAGACTGATTGACCCTCAACAAAACAATAGCAACGAAATTCCCATTAATTTAGTAGCATTTACGGACATTTTAATTGTACCTGTGAAGATGACTGCTGGCGTAACGCCAGACATTCCAACAAAATATACATAACTAGCAACGATGTGTATACAATGTAACTTTTTAAATTTTGCGGTATAGAAATGAATACTGACGTCAATTATTTGTTATTCTTGTGGCGAAATATTAATTTACCAATACGAAATGAAAGTTTACCAAATTATTTTGGTGTCTTGGTGTTTACCGCATCGTAAAATAGAGTAGAAATTTATGTAATGGAAAGCTGTGTTATTTCAACGGTCGGCACTCTAGTTCACTAGGACCATATGAGTTATGTTAAAGTTCGCATGAAAACAGTGTCAAAAGCCTCGAGCGCCGTTGGCCTGTCGCCATGGGCACGTGGCGTTATCGTCAGGAAGTACGACGCGACGTAAACACGCCTATTCGCACGACTGATCTTGGCCAGATCTTGACCCATTAACACGGGTGCCGATGTCAGAGCTGTGTCGCTTTGGGATATTTTTAGCTGGTACGCGGGAGCGGGGTTTTGTTGAGTACGCGCACGCCGCCTACGGGCCATTCTACGAGCTCTCAGTGCGGCGAGACCATGATCGCGGGAAAATGACAACTCGCGGCATTAGACGGAAGAAGTCATCGCTCTCTGAAGTGAAAGTTGCTGTGATCGGTGCACCATCCGTCGGGAAAAGCGGTACGTGATGTTGCGTGCGTTCTTTGCGGCTGTCATTGCGTGGTGTCTTTTTTAGATTCATATTATGAGTATTCTGTGCTGCTTGTAAAGTTTTATAGACAACTTCCGTGTTTTAGACTTTATATATAATATCGAATATTAATTAAATTCAGAGGTTATCGTTTCAATTGTGTAAACATACATATATCCATTAGTGTTGACAAAAGATGATGGTTACATTATTCCGATTACTGTTTCGTATATTATACATTTGAAAGCGTAAGAGTTTATGAATTTGCACGTGGTTTTTTAAGTGTCATAAATCTACTTTCTTCAAAAATAAATTACTAATAATAATTAAATTATTATTTCGGATGCAAACCCCGTACTATAGTCGTTCACAAGCTAAATTTTAATTCCGTCCGTCACGGGAGTGCTACGCCGAAGGCGTGCTACAGAGTTGTGGTGGTTTCATTCTTTAAAGAAAGGCGATAAAACCCTATTGAAGAGTTATAGACCAATATCCTAACCGAACCGCGTCTACGTTCTGTTTCTGAGAGTTATTACGAATCATCTTTCATCTCATACTTAAGACTCGACGATTTCCATTCTCTCAAACAAGCTGGTTCCCAAAAAAGGCTTTAGTACTATAAACCACATACATGCTCTTTAACTTGCACCTTCAACACTGAATGGTATAATCTGCATTTATAGTGGTGTATGTGCAATATGAGAATACCTTTGATTCCGTTGAAATTTGGGTGGTACTACAGTCCCTTATTTAGCGGTGCCAAATGTTGGTATAGTTTGTGCTGTGAGGCTATGGGTAGGCAGAGTGACGTTATAACCGCGAAACTCTTTACCTCTGTATTGGAAAATGGGACCTACTTTTAGTACTTTTCAAGTTACTGAGCTAGAAATGATACGGTTTTAATATTAATGACGAGTACATCATTCATCTTCTACTTGCCGACAACTTAGTCATTATAGCAGAACGGAGCACTTAACACTATGCTCTCAACCTCAATAGTCTCTCTTAACGATCTTAAGATAAAAATGTGCTAGACAAAGGTCATGTGTAACGTCCGTGTCACACCAATGCCGGTTATTGTTAGCACTGCGGTCGAAGTTGTTCAGAACAAATTGTCCTACTTAGATAAGTCGATTTTCGGTTATTTGACAGACACAACTCGGTTGGGCAGCGTTCGGTACATTACGATACATTTTCTCTTCACGTATTTCTTAAATCAGTAGATCAGAATTGTCAGTTATGATATGGATGAATATGAGATGTGGTTTTTCCTGTTGGCCGTATGAGGATGCATAAAGTTTGATTAGAGAGCTATAAAGAGAATTACGCTGGGAGTTTCTCGGAGTTATAGAATCAGTAACGATTATATCCGTAGTTGAATCAGAGTAATCGATGTAGTCCAACGCATCAGTAAGTTGAAGTGGAAACAGGCTGGCCATATTCGAATGAACAATAACCGATCAGCTCACACCGTGTTTAGTGATTTCCCTTGGGAGACATGTTCAGCAGAAGTATGATGTTATTACATATTTAATGATAGTAGCCTTAATATTTGCAAAACACTTCTATTATTACTTAGAAACTTATAAGTATTTTTCTGAGTATCTTTTAACTAAGTTATATTATGATGTGCAATTACCGCTGCTTTTGGACATGAATTACTAAAAGTTGTTAACTTTTTATGAGTATCGTTCTATAAAAATAGAGAAAAATATCATTCACTTGTTTGAGACATGATTCCGGCAAAATTAATGTTGTAAATATCAAATAATTTATGGATTTGTTATAAACAAGTACAATGTTTTTTAACGTAGTCACAAATAATTTTTGAAATTATGAATTAAAATATATATATATAATGGGCACTAATTATTGATTTTAAATTGATGAATCATGTAAATAAAGGTGAATGAACGAAAAATATGAATAGCTTTCCGTAATGATTTTTGAATAAGTATACAAAAACATAAGCGAATTTCATTAATTAAAAATGTATGTAAACACGCCTGCTAATCACGAGGTCTCTAGTTGTACCAAATCGCGGGTCGGTTAAAAAAAATCTGTTATTTATTTTTCTGACAAAAAATTCTCAGTAGCTGCTCGGAGTCAGGAAGTTGGAGGTATCTCATCATCGTACCTCGAAAAGCACCTAAAGCCGTTTCCCAACGTATAATGGCCGTTTCTCAACGTCCGACGGGACGATAATCCGTCGTGTCGGTTTACCGTTCCATCGGACTATGAGACTGAGAAAATACAGAGTAGAGAATGAACTTGTGCTTGCGCACACACTCGGGCAATATAATCCTGTCCTGCGCCGATGGGCAGTCTCCGTTGAGGCTGGCCGCAGTAACCGACATTTGGTCTGGAGGACATTACACGCCTGTTATTTTATGAAATTTTGTAAAATCTACGTGAATTTGTAATGAAAAATTATTAGGAATTCAACTTTTTTTTCTTTATTATTTAGGAAAACTTTAGCCCTTTCTTTAGGTTCTTTTTATTCGAAGATGATTGTAGTTTGCAAGCGTCCATGTGTGTAGCCACTTAATCTTACCCAGTTTGTCGCTCTAGGGTTGGATGCGACAAACAATTGTTACACCAGAGTAACTAACTCTAATAATTTTACTCTTTGATCTCACTCTCAGATAACTTCATTTGTTTTTTTCTATCACAAACGTAGAATAGATAATTCTGTGAATTGTTACTCCAGAATTGGTAAAAAAAATAAGAATGAATATGTAGCTAATTAAAATTAAAATACAATTGTTTATAAAGGGCAACGCAATGTTAAAGTTAAAGTTACAGCCTATACACGTCCCACTGCGGGGCACAGGCCTCTCATTTCTGAGTGGGTTTTAGGGCAAGGAAATGCCCGCCGCGCCCCCAATGCTTGTGGGAAATTTGCACATGTCTTCTAAATATTTTTTTCTTATTTCTCAGATATGCATGTTTCCTCACGATGTTTTCCTTCACCGTAGAACCCATGGTAAATCAGCACTTAAAATTGCAATTAATAATTTCATTGGTGCCGGCGGCGAACACACTCGGGTACCTCACGTACTGTGAAATTTACAGCGAGCGTTTAGCCTGATTTTATGTCCACATAATTTGCCGGACTATTATCTCGAAATATTCACACGAGTTTTCTGTTGAGTAAAGTTACAAAATATCTTTTTGAGTTGTCGTTTTCCATGTTAAATGTAAATTAAAAAATGTCGCTCGTGGAAAAACATTTTCGTGTCATAGAAAATAAAAGATCAGACGGTGTTACGCCTTGGAATGTATTTTTCATCACAGTGAGAAACTATTTAAAAAAAAATCGCTTCAATTATCGCAAAAATATAAACGCACAACTGTAAAATATCTTACTTTTTCAAAAAAGCATACGAAAACAGCTGCTAAAAGGTAGCTGCCGCCATTAAATTAATCTGGGTTTTCTGGTTTACTCTATAAATTTTAGCGGTACAGCGATTTACTCTTGAATAGCCAGATAAACCTGGGTTAAGATTTGGTGAGACAATTCTCTAACTCTAGAGTAATTAATGATTTTATTCACAGAATAAGACTTACACAAGTTTGATCGAATCCGCTATAAGATTCTAAGATGTAAAGATAAATTAAAATTACTTTGATAATTAGAGCAAACAATGAGTTATAAGAATCCCATCCCTACGCGCTGATTTGTCTGTTTTCATTTTCCTCTTTGTATAGGTACACGTTTTCCTTTAAATTGAATTATAACCTTGACGAATTAAAGATGTTACAGCTATTTGTGTCTAAGGTTTTTGCATTGGTATAGGTATTACAGTAGAATAAATAAATACATTAAGGTCTACAAGACAGTCTGAGACATTTGCCAGGCGCAGTTGTTTCTAATCCCTGTCGCTTGACATTGCCAAAATATGAATGCAAACACAGAAACCGAGTAGAACTAAAATTAAAAAATATTTAATGTAAAAACTTGTACATACATTCAGTTTTACAGCCATAACAGTTACGGCTAAAATTATATACCTTGGGTAAACCAGGACAATAATTAGGTAGAATGCAAATGATTTACAAAATAAGTTCAGATTATATATGTACTATACTATATACGTGGAGTTATAGGAAATCACTTGCTAAGAAAGTATTCACATAGTTTTGTTGGTTATACATAATATATAATATATACGTTTTATTGAACCCATGCACCTGTATTAAGCTGATAAACGTTTTAGCTCCGTTAATTAGAATCTCGAACATCACTCTACTTTAATGGTACTAAGTGCAAAATGATTTAGTAAATTCACTATCAAATTTATCTTCATTTCATTATCAATCCCATACTTTCTTATCTTCTGTGTTCTCTCTACATTCTGATTCGATGAAGTCTTAAAAGCTGATTTCGATTAAGCTATAAATATTGTCTGAAGTTATCAATTGTGCAGAAGACATGGTGTCATTTAAGTATCTGCTCAACAGGGTCATTTACGCAGAACTACCCATGTTGCTGGTGTGTCGCCCAGTCTATATTTGATTTTTTTTTTATATAATTGAAGTAACAAAGGAACTAACAGTTCATGTGATGGTAAGTGAGCCCACGGGATACCTGCAGCTTACTCACAGACTGTAAATAAAATTTTAGGCTGGCTTCTATGCCAGGGTGGTAGCTACTGGATTCTTAGGCTGAAAAGGATACGGACCCAGTATGATTCTTGTTATTCAGGAGAAACAAAAGAACTTTGACGTTCAGCGTCAGTGTCGGACACGGATACTATCACAAACAAACAAGCGTAAAACAAACAGTTTGTTTTTGCATGAATTATTGTAGTGGAAATTTAGTACTGAGATAAAAAGTAATAAGTATGAATGTTTTTGCATCATAAATTATATTGTGATACTATATAATCTAAAGCAAAAGCAAATAATGTAAAACAGTGTGGGGAAAATGCATTTCGTCAATATTTTTTGTTCTCGCTGCAGCGCTAACTTATTCTGAGGAACGCTA